CAGGAGGCTAGTAGGTTTAGTTAGGATTCTCCAAGCTTGTTTTGCAAGGAGAGCTTTATTGAAGTTGTGTAGATCCTTAAAGCCAAGACCTCCTTCATTTTTTGGGATAGACATTCGTTTCCAGGCCACCCATGGGATCTTTCTTTTTCCTTTATCCTCACCCCACCAAAATGAGGATATGACACTGATTATTTCGTCACATATGGTAATTGGTAACAAAAAGCAATTCATAGAGTAGACCGGTAGAGCCATTGCGATGGACTTGATGAGTATCTCTTTTCCCGCGGGGGATAGATACTTATGAGTCCATCCTTCTGTTCGGTCTTTAACTTTTGTAACTATATACTCAAACATCTCTACCTTTTTCCTGCCAAATTGTTCCGGAAGTCCCAAATATTTTCCGCCGCCTCCCACTTTTGAAATTCCCAAAATATGTTGAAGTCGCTGTCTCTTTTGCTCCAGGAGCTTAGAACCAAAGATCATCGAAGACTTCTGGTAATTTATTTTCTGACCTGAAGCCTGCTCATAGGTTTCAAAAATTGCCGCTAACTGTTGACAATTTGATGTTGAAGCTCGGCAAAAAAACAGAGAATCATCCGCGAAGAGAAGGTGTGAAATCGAGGGGCAGTGCTTCGTTAATTGAATACCTTGAAGTTTTTTATCTCTCTCTGCTCTCTTAAGCATAGTACTCAAAACATCCGCACAAAAAAGAAAAAGATAAGGGGATAACGGATCACCTTGTCGAAGGCCCCGCGATGGTCGAATATGTCCATATGGTGAGCCATTGATCAGAACCTCGTAGGAGACTGTAGATATACACGCCATTATCCATTGAACCCATCTTGAATCAAAGCCTAACTGAATCATAACCCGTTCCAAGAAATTCCATTCAACGCGATCGTAAGCTTTACTTATGTCAGTTTTGACCGCCAAATAATCACTTTGAAAAGCTCTCTTTGATTTCAGAGAATGAAGAATCTCGTGTGCAACCAAGATGTTGTCGGAGATGTTTCTTCCCGGGACAAAGGCGGCTTGAGATTCAGAGATAACAGAACCGAGACATTGTTTTAACCTCATGATCATTACCTTTGAAATAATCTTGTAGTTTACGGTACACAAACTAATGGGTCGAAAATCTGCCATATGTTTTGAATCTGTGATCTTTGGGATTAGGCAAAGCTGAGTTTGGTTTATCTCCTCATCCATCTCCCCTGTTTCGAAAAATCGTCTTACCATTGCACACACATCGTCTCCAACTTCATCCCAAAATTGATGGTAGAAAGCCGCTGAGAAACCATCAGTTCCCGGTGCTCTATCTGCTCCTATTGAGAAGGCAGCATCTTTTATTTCCTTATTTGTGACTGGGAGAAGAAGTTTTTTGTTCATAGCCTCTGTTACTCGCGGGTCAATATCGGAGATTATCGCTTCCATATCTGAATGTTGAGACGTAGTAAACAGCTCGGAGAAATAGTTTTCAGCCACTTTACCTATAGCATCGTCACGGAAATGTTCCACACCTTGATCATCAATGATTGATTTGATTCGGTTCCTCGACTTACGGACTTTACAAGCAGCCTGGAAATATTTAGTGTTACGCTCACCCAATTTCAACCATTGATTTCTGCTTTTTAGCTTCCAGAAGGTTTCTTCTTCTCTGTATGCACGATTAAGCTCACTTCGCAGGCGATTTAAAGTTGCCAAAGGTGTCGATATGTCTCTTTCTGCAGCATCTATGCGATGTTTTAGAATGTTAATCTGTTCCGCTGAATTTCTCTTTGTGCTTCTCTTCCACTTTGCGATTTCTTTACGACAACACCGCAGTTTGTGTTGAATACCTCCGTGTGCATCTGTTCTACCAAGTCTCCACCCACGTTTGACAGAAGCAATAAAATCCTCAGATCGGGAATGACGTTTATCGTACCTGAATTGTCCTCTTTTGACACAAACCTCCTCTGCGATGTGAATAATAACAGGGGCATGATCTGACCCGGCGATTGGTAGAAATTCTGTTTCTGACGCAGGATAGATGGCTTGCCAATCCGTATTAATGAAGGCTCTGTCCAGACATGATTCAATAACTTCTTTTTGTCGTTTACCAACCCAACTGTACGGATTACCTTTGTATCTCAGGTCTTTCATATTACAACATGAGAGCATGTTCTGAAAATTCTTTAAGCTGCCTTTGCTCCGAACACGACCGCCCTTTTTCTCTTCAGGTAATATGATCTCATTAAAATCACCACACATCATCCACGGACCTGATCTAGTGTTTGATATTCGTTGAAGTTTTTCCCATAAGTAATGTCTCTCTCCCTGTATTGGATGACCATAGATGCAAGACAAGTAGAAATTAAAGGATTTGTATTCAACATAAAGATCTACGAGCCTTACATCATGGGAAATAACTTGAATATCAATATGCTTCTGCCAAAAGACAGCTAAACCACCACTTAAACCTCTAGGGGTTACAAGACACATATCGTGAAAACCCAACTTAACACCTAAGTCCCGAATGTAGTTATCTTGTTGCTTCGTCTCCACCAAGAACAACACGTCCAAGAGATACACCCGTTGCATCTCTTCTAGGCGTCGAACTGTCAAGGGTTGTCCCATGCCTTGACAGTTCCAAAATCCTACTCTCATGGGTCAGGTGGTGGTACTGGCCCCACCGCGGCTCTGCCTTGTTCACTGGTTTCTGTAGTCTCCCCTGATCCACTTGCCTCTCCCCGACTTAAGTAGATACTCTGGCCCTCATCCTCTGTTCGTCGCTTTCGTGAGATGTTGGGATCTTCAACTCCCATGCTTTGTTTCCGCTTCCTAAGACATTTTTTTATATTATCATAAAACAACTTTCAATTTTTACAAAATACTATTTTAGAAAAGAGAAAATGATTGAACCAAATAAAATTTGTTGTTTCTCATATTGTTGAAGAATATAGCTGATTGGCCAAAGAAATAAAAAAATAAATAAAACTGACATAGGCATAAACGCTGCATGTAAATCGCCGAAAACGAAATCGTCCCTCGTTGCTCTGAAACCCTAAAAGAAGCAAAATCTACCAATGGCGAGAAGATCCGTTTCGATGCTTAGTCGCCTTCTGGCGAATCCTCCTTCTCCATTCACCGCACTGTCCCGATCCATCACCTACATGCCTAGACCAGGAGACGGAGCTCCACGAACCGTAACCCTAATTCCCGGCGACGGAATCGGACCTTTAGTGACCGGTGCGGTTGAACAGGTCATGGAAGCTATGCACGCCCCGGTGCATTTCGAGCGGTACGAGGTTCTTGGCCACATGAGAAAAGTCCCTGAAGAAGTAATCGAGTCTGTGAAGAGAAACAAGGTCTGTTTAAAAGGGGGATTAGCGACTCCTGTTGGTGGTGGTGTCAGTTCTTTGAATATGCAATTGAGGAAAGAACTCGATATCTTCGCTTCTCTAGTGAATTGTATCAATGTCCCTGGATTAGTGACACGACACGAGAATGTTGATATCGTTGTGATTAGAGAGAACACTGAAGGAGAGTATTCAGGTCTCGAGCATGAGGTTGTTCCTGGTGTTGTCGAGAGCCTTAAGGTAACTACATATAATTAGGGTTTATTTTTAGTCCAAATTGTGATCCTTTTGTTTACATGAGGTTGTTGAATTGTTTGTGTAGGTGATAACAAAGTTTTGTTCTGAGAGAATTGCGAGATATGCATTTGAGTATGCGTATCTAAACAATAGGAAGAAAGTGACTGCTGTTCATAAAGCTAACATCATGAAGCTCGCGGATGGGCTCTTCCTCGAATCTTGTAGAGAGGTTGCTAAACACTATCCGGGGATTACTTACAATGAAATAATCGTAGACAATTGTTGTATGCAGCTTGTCGCCAAGCCCGAGCAATTTGATGTCATGGTAATGCTCTTCTTCTCCTAGTTACAAATCAAAACTTGAAGCAAAATGAGTCTAATGTGACAGAAAATAAAACCATCATTGATGTTGTTTTGATGTATCTCATTGATAATTTTTGTTGGTTTGTTTCAGGTGACGCCTAATTTGTATGGTAACCTTGTAGCAAACACGGCGGCTGGAATAGCCGGTGGCACTGGAGTGATGCCAGGAGGTTTGTATTAGTTGAAGTTATAATCTTTCTTAATTTTGCCTTAGAAATGACGTTTCTTGGGGTTGTTGGGGACAGGAAATGTTGGTGCAGAACATGCGATATTTGAGCAAGGCGCATCAGCCGGGAATGTGGGGAATGATAAGATAGTGGAACAGAAGAAAGCTAATCCGGTGGCTCTACTTCTCTCATCAGCAATGATGCTTAGACATCTCCGGTTTCCTACTTTTGCTGATCGGCTTGAAACAGCAGTGAAACAAGTGATTCAAGAAGGAAAATACAGAACAAAAGATCTTGGAGGAGATTGTACCACGCAGGAAGTTGTTGATGCGGTCATAGCAGCTCTTGAGTGAAACCATGTGAGCTTCTCTGCTTCTGCTTGCTTCTTCTTTCGTCTTTTTCATTTAAACTAAGAAAAAAGTGTTGGTTTTCTCTGTTTTACGTTGCTCTTTTTTTATTTCTTGATTCATTTTACTAGTTCATTTTTTGTCTTTTGATGATATTCGATCTCACGTCTGAGCTTGAGCTCTATGTTATACAATAAAATCAATAAAGAGAGAAGCAATGTTGTTTATCAAGCAATATTTTGATCTCTTTTGCATCAAAATTGAGTAAAACAGCTAATAAAATCACTTGTTAAAAGAAGGCAAAGGAAATTACTTGAAGTAATCTTGGCAGTTCTAAAACCTGATACAAATTTAGATTTGCGGACACTGATGGTCCAGAAAGATATTATTTAAGGTCTCTGATTACTAAAGAAGCATGTAGAGAACCAATAAAGATAACAGTTAACACCAAATAAGAAAAGAGAGCAGCCATGGATAAGATGCATTTTGCTATAATTAGGGTTTTACAGGGTATGACGCGCAAAGACCAAAGATTTTGAACCTCAGAATGATTAAGAAGAAATTTCTTGTCTCCGTGTTTCATACGAGTACATTCCGTAGGAACATTTTTTTAAACAAAACTTCTCTGTTTCTGCTTTATTGAAATCTTCCAACTATAAAATACATCCTGAGTCCATCATCTTTTGATCAATTAGAACGATATCAGAATAGAAGTCATTAAAGAAGAAGATAAACATTAAAAAGAAGAAAATAATTTGTTTTTGAGAAATTTTGCTCTGATTTCTTGATCCTGAAGATTGAAATGGCATCAAATAGTGAAGCAAGGCCTCTGCCAAAATTCGGAGAATGGGATGTGAATGATCCGGCGACGGCAGAGGTATTCACTGTTATATTTAGTAAAGCCGGCGAGGATAAAAAAACAGGTCGTAGCTCCAGCAAGGCACCTTCACAGAGGAAACAAGACGGCGTTAAACCAACCAAGAAATGGCTCTGTTTTACTTTTTCTTGATTTCCTCTAAATTACTTAAAACGTTTGAGAATAGCATTGAGAAACATCTGTCTTAGAACCTTTTATCATTTGCTTAGCATTTCTCTTTATAAGATGTTGCAGAGACGAGAAAGTAGATAGCTTCTTGTATATCTTGTTTGATGTTTAATGTTATGTTTCGTTTGAAGCTTAAGACTAGATTTTGACAATTCAGATTTAAACAAAATGCAGGTTTTGCAATACCCACTTCCAAAAAAACATTCATAATATTTCTTCTTGGTCTTAACTATTTACAAACATAGAGTTACTTGCTTGTCAAGAAACCGCTCTTCTGCATCAAAGTGGATGAATAAGGATTCAATCATCAATTTTGTTTATATATATATTTACCGGTTTCTGTGTTCCCAGAGCAAACAAAATCTTATTAACGGATTGGATCTTACATTCCTTTTAAGAAAGATGAAGACCGGAAGCTAGAAAATGATAAATTAGCTTGATTCCTGTAGAGATCAACTCAGGAAATGAACTGTCTAACAATGCAAATTTGATAAGGACATTCTGAGTTTTACAGTATCGAAGAAATTGTCCTGCTTCAAAAAGGCATGATTCTAATAGGTAATGTCACATGAACATAAAATCCTTAAGCATACATTGTCAAGATATTGAATTGTTGCAGAGCATTGTTAGGCTAGCTAGCATTGATGTTGTCCTATATACATGTTTCTTAAAATTCTTACCTTTATTGTCATCTACACTACTCTTCTTATAAGAAATAAAAATGGCGTAAAATATGTGAATCTTATGAACGCTTTTACTGTGCTTGACTTTGTGGTTGCTTAAGAGAACAAAAATTGCTTTTTGTAATATCCAAATCTCAACAGAAATTGGATATGTTTTCTAGTAAATCAGACAGCAGTATCTGATCAAAAATTGCTTTGATTACTCTCTCAAATGACAAGAGGAAAAAGACTAAAAGAAGAATATTTTCTTAACACTTAAGTAGCCAAGTGCAGAGTATTGTGACGTTTCAGTGAAATTAGATTGCTAATTATTGAGAGCCAAAAGAGAAGACAATGTTCATGGGATCAATTAGAGAAGATTTACAAAGGACAAGTGGTCAACATTGTGTTAATACTCTATTCATTTTTGATGACTCTCTTCAAATCATTTGGCAAATTAAATTCCTTATTTTTTTTAGTTTATTTCTTCTCTCTTCTGTCATATTCTCAATATATTTGTGAATTAAAACTTCTGTCTCCTTGTCTCACATTAAAATAATAGAAAGCTACGGAAATAAATACACACATGAATAGGAAATGAAACGTACCACGACCTTATTGAACAAGATTCTCCTACTACTCTTATTGTTTTAAAACCCTAGATTCTTGGAATAATGGCCTTAGCTTCTTTTTTTCTTTGTGCAAATATTTGTTTATAAGTTTAAATCTCTCCTTGGAAAACGTTTCTCTGAGTTGTCGTGTTTTTTTTTTCCTCATGAAACAGATCTTTGAGTTTGCCAGCGGTGATGGAGGAGGCAAAGAGGGACAAGTTAGGAGACAAGATAATCATAATAATCAAGAAAGCTTGACGTTGCTCCATTTATAACCACAAAGAGATTATTAAATAAATTAAGCAAAAGGGGATAATTGTGCAAATATCCTCTTTATAAGTTTTTTTTTTAACACATGCCCAATTTGCTCTTACATTAAAACCTTTTTAAAGGGTTATTTTGGATTTCTCTGTTAAGTTTTCTTCTATTATATACCTTGGAGTCTCTGAACCTTTATAACCCACCAAAAACCATTTCCAAGTTTAAGTCTTTTGATTTCTCTGTTTGCTTCAGAGCTTGGAAAAATGGCAGAATCATCATCCTCTGCGGTGACTACGCATGTACCTGCTAGGTCTATTAGTTTGCCTACAAGACTAATCCATCCTAAAGCACAGAGAGTTGAAGAAGAACTGAAAAAGATTCAAGCTTTAAACTCTTCTTCATCAGCTTCTTCTAGGATCAAACTTGGACTTGCCAAGCTCGTTGAGCTCTATGACTTTGTCAATGAACAAGTCATATGTTCTCCTCAAGGCCAACAAGCTCTTCGCCTTTGTCGCAACGGGAAACTTGTGGAAGACTCTCTTGATGAATCCATCTTGTTACTAGATGTCTCTGACTTCACAAGAGACTTGATAGGAACACTCATGGAGCAAATTCAAGAACTTCAATCTGCTTTACGTAGACGCAGAGGAAATCTCTCTTCCGTTCAGTCCGAGATCCGAACTTACATTAGCTTTCAGAAGAAGTTCAAGAACGCAGCAGATAGACAACTTAAATCCCTTGCAAGGACACAAAGAAAGAAAAAAGATCCGGTTATCAAACAATCTCGTGATCTTGATCAACATTCTTCAATGGTCTCCAACATTCTAAGGCAATCAAACGCGTCGACGATCTCTATTTTGCAGTCACTCTTGCAGTTTCTTTCTTCTTCCGGTGAGAACCAGAAGAAGAATGGTGAAATTGGATGTGTAGATAACTCGATGATCCGTTCTTTCTTTGGAAGAATCATCGGTAGGAAGATCGTGAAGGACATTGATGCGCAAACAATCCTCGGGAAATTAGCTATGGTTAATGCGAGCCTTGAAGCAATTAAGGATGAGTTAAGTTACTTATCTAGACGACTTATTCAACATAGAGCGTCTCTCTTGAACATTGTTACTCTATAACAATAAGAGTTTTGTATTTAATTTGTGTAAAAAACCAGGTTTTGTAGAGATGAAATTAAATTATTATAGAAAAATAGTTAATCGTATCTTGAGTTCTTGACTATTGTCCATTTCCATAAAAAAGTTTTTTTTTTTCTTTTGTGGTTCGGATTGGATGATACGTGAATTGATCCGGTGAAGAAATATATAATCTCAGAAGTTATAAGATGAATTAAACAGTATCAAACCGAATTAATTAACAAAAAAAAGAGGTGGTGCATGTGTATATATGGAATATGGTGCATCATCACCATCCATTCATCATCATCACTTACGACATCACATGCTGAACAAACTATACCAAACTTGATGATTGTTGTCTTCTAGCTTCGTGTCGCTCACGTCACGTGCTTGTCGTGGGGAATTAGTCTACATGACATGTTATTGTTTGTGTACGATGATGATCCACGAGAGCACTACTCAGAAACAAATATTTGTTTCTGAGCCAATAAAATTATGCTGCGTGATATTTTTGGTTAATAATAATGTTTTGATTAATGCTAATCGATTACAATACAAAATAATGTTTAATTTTTATGGTCGAATCACTAAATTTAAGTATACTATAACTCACATTCTACCAAAAACACCTAATTTAAGCATGTCACATTCTAACTTGCTCACGAATCCTGACATTGCCTTAACCACAACCTACTGACTATTTTGAGATTTCTCCTCCGTGAACTCCGACCATTTTTTTTTGGCTTTTGACCACCACAAATTTTATTTTTTTCTCCGTGTCTGTAAATTCGGCGACTTCAGTGTAGTCTCTCTAGCTCCTCTTTCTTTATAACATCTCCCTAACTTTTTTTCACTAATTCATTCTAAAGTTGTGGAGAGTGTGAGAAGTATCCAAATTATTTTCTTTTTTTCTCCTGCGTTATCTTGTAAAACATATCATAATCTTGTAACAAATAAAATGTATGTATTACTTTAGAAATATTGTATACAATATTTTTTTTACTTCTTTGTGTACATCATTTAATAAGAGGGAGATGTATAGTTTCATTTATTCAAATGAGATAAGAATTTAGATAATAGTTAAGGTAGACAATTTAGATTTATGTAAGAGGGAACAATATGTATGATTCAGATATACGTAGATGCACATAATTGTGTATACAGGACATAAACACATACAAAACACCTACACTACCGTACCTAGTACTTACACATTCAATAGATTTTCATAATCGTCATTTCACGATGGTAGACATCAAATCAATCCACTTTTCCAATCGTATTTTTTGTTACGTGTTTATTCTAACATTTTTTTTTCTTATGTGTTTTAGAAAACCATATTGGATATTTCGATCTTGATAAATTTTCTCTGTTTTGGTATTGTGTACGGCCAAAATTACAACGTACTCAATTTTGATGCCAAAGGAGATGGTCAAACTGATGATTCAAAGGTAAATTATGTTTTGAATTTATGTTCTCTCTACACAAAATATGTGAATTTTTGATAAATACATATTTTCTTATAATTAATTACTTTGGTATTATTTTGGTATTAATATTTTAAAAAATAATTATGTTAAAAAGGCTTTTCTACAAGCATGGACTGCTGCATGTGGCGGAGACGGGGACATAAAAACACTTCTTATTCCTTCTGACAAAACATTTTTACTTCAACCTACCGTGTTCCAAGGCCCATGTAAATCTAGTTCGATAAAAGTTCAGGTATATAGACGAGTAATTCACAAATTTATATGATGAATAAATTTATGTTTAAATTAAGAAAATCAATAAAAATTGTATTTTCTCATTTGAAGTTGGATGGCGCCATCGTTGCACCTAGTGACAAAGTCGCATGGTCGGACCCCATCTCCCGAATGTGGATCAAATTTTCAACTGTGTCTGGTCTAACAATCGTTGGTTCGGGAACGATTGATAGTCGTGGTTCATCTTTTTGGGAGGTGACAATTTGCTATATCATAATTTATATTACTTTTTAAATATACTTTTCTCCATTGTAATATCAAAATCATTGAGAGTTTCTTTATTTGTAGCTAAATCTGAAAGCTTCTCAACGACCTACAGTAAGTATATCTATTAATCTTAATATACATTCTTTGGAAATTTGTTTTTGATTATGATTGCTTTAAATTTGTTATTAAATAAACCACTTTTTTTTTGTAGGCATTACATATCAGCAAATGTGACAACCTGAGGATAAACGGGATAACCTCGATTGATAGTCCAAAAAATCATATATCAATCAAAACATGTAATACTGTTGCAATATCAAATATAAATCTTTTTGCACCCGAGACAAGTCCCAATACAGATGGGATTGATATAAGTGACTCGACTAATATCAACATATTTGACTCTACAATTCAAACCGGTCCGTACTTAATCTATAAATCGCTCATGCATTTTATTAATACATGAATACTACACATAACAAACTAGAGATTATCCAATTACTAAGTCACTACTTACTATATATAGCTCCAACTTTTATGTATTTGTTATACTTCTCTTGGAAAATTAATTTATAATATTTTTAGACTATGAAATATAGCAAAGTAAGTTTGACAAAAAAATATATATATATAGCAAAGTAAAATTATTTGAATTTCAATCACTAAATTCTCAGGTGACGATTGTATAGCAATCAACAGTGGAAGTTCTAATATTAACATCACTGGAATTAACTGTGGACCTGGTCATGGGATAAGGTAATTCATAATAGTACTTATTATTTTTAGATGACACCATTAACCATGAATAGAAAGCTTACTTGCACAGAGAAAAGGCTGAGAGAATTTATTAAAAAAATTATTATTGGAAAACAGTGTGGGAAGTCTAGGAGCGGGTGGAGCAGAGGCTAAAGTGAGTGATGTTCACGTGACTCACTGCACTTTCAATCAGACGACGAATGGAGCTAGAATCAAGACATGGCTGGTATATTTTTCTTTCTTATTTACTAATTACTACCTCTTATAGTTACATTGATATTAATCATATAAAATGTGTTACATGTATTGTTACTTTTGATTTTTAGGGTGGACAAGGATATGCAAGAAACATAAGTTTTACGGATATTACGCTCATTAACACAAAAAATCCAATAATAATCGACCAACAATATATAGATAAAGGAAAGCTTGATGGAGAGGTAAATACTTTTTAATAATTTATAAATACAATTATATATCTGAAAGTATAATTAAATTGTGAGAATATATGTATTTATGTTTAACAGGAATCATCAGTGGCAATTAGTAATGTAAAATATGTCGATTTTCGCGGAACATCGTCAAATAAAAATGCTATAACGCTTAAATGTAGTGAAACTACACATTGTATAGATGTTGTCATGGATGGAATTGATATTACCATGGCGAATGGAGGAAAACCTAAAGTTAATTGCCAATATGTTGATGGAGAGTCAAGTGATACTGATTTGATGCGAGACTGTTTTAAAAATAACACTAGTTCTTAATTGAGAATGTACATCAAAAGTAGTCTACCCACGTTTTCTACTGTCGTAGAAAGAAATCAATTGATGTCTTTCAAACGGTTGAATTACAGTCACAGATTTTTTTTTGTCTTGGCAATCAAAACTAAATACTTCTGTTACGTACGTTATATCATTTTTTGTCTTTTAACTAAACTTACCTGAAGATTCCTCCGATTGTTTACGCAACTCTTATTTTTAATTTTATTAAAGCATTTGTAACGTAAGACAAGAAAGACAAGCCTTGGTTCTTTGAAGCCGGACACATTTTTAATTCTCTCTTAACCAAAATTATATTTACCCTGACGAACAAGAAACTGAATTTAAAAATTAATTTTGCGAGACAAAGTTTGTATAGATGCATAAGAAGAAGACAAAGAGGAACATGAGTTGCAAGACTCACTGACCATAACTGATGATTTTCTTCATGTTAGAAACAAACAGATCAGATTAGAGACCCATGTTCTTCTCACATGTTCCCACATTGTTTAACCCGAGGATCCCTCTGTTTGTGAGCTTCTCTGCAATATATATATAGAAACCCTCTAGAACCCTGGTAGACCATCTCAATCCAATTTAGAGTTCTGAAAGATAGAAAAAACATGGAAGGTTTAGATTTGGTCTTCTTGTCTGATCAAACCACACACCAACCGGTTCGATCTGTGAGTCTTCCTTCAAGAATCCATCCACTCTCTGTTAAGATCAGAGCAGCCTTGAACCGGCTCAGTTTCTGGCGGAGATCTTCTTCCTCAATCTCGATATCCGCTTCGTTTGGGTATGAGACGGTTCTCGTTGGACTCGTGGACCTCACTGAGCTCTACAGTTGCGTGCATGAGCTACTTGAGTCTCCTTACGTGAAACACACTCTTCTTCATCACCAGAAAGGGAAACAACTTCTGGAAGATTCTTTAGATGGATCTGTTCTGTTGCTCGACGTGTATGAGGCCACAAGGGAGGTGATTGTAGCGATGAGAGAACACGTGACGAATCTCAAATCTGCTCTTCGTAGGAAAGGAAGCGTAGAGAAGGAGGCGAAAGCATACGTTAACTTGCGGAAGAAGGCAAAGAAAGAAATCTCTAAACAGATCAATGCACTCAAGAAAATGGAAACTAGAGATATTTCCACCAACATAGATCACGATTCAACGATAGCATCCACGATTGTTCTGAGAGAGACAATTGAATTCACTGTCTCGATTTTCAGACATCTTTTGTTGTTCCTATCAACAATACCACCACCACCATCTCCAACGAAAAAAATCAAGACCACCATTGGGTTTTTGCCTTTTCCTTTCGTATCGTCGTCATTATCAGATAAATCTCTGAATCTGATAAAAGAAATGAAGAGTCTTGATGAAGTTTTTCTGGGTTCTATTTTGGATCCGAGTAAAACCTTTTTCGAAGTCGAGACAAGGCAGAAGGAGAAGATGAGGAGAGATGTAGTTGAAGATGGTTTTCGTGATCTGGAGGCAGAACTGGACTCTGTTTCCAAGTCTTTAGTTAAAAACAGAGTTTTGTTCCTTAACATCCTCAGTAACTGTTACTACTGAGATTTTTGTTAACAGATGTAAATCTTTTTTCCTCAAATTATCTTCGCTGAGAGCCTAAGGAGGAGGAGGAGACAAGAATATGTATTTGTGCAACAGTTCAAGTTGACTAAATCAGTGGCAATCTTGTTCGGACTTAATTGTTCAAATTTTTTAATTTGGACTGAAACATATCGAAACTTGATGCGTCTTATTATTATAGGATGTATGTATGCGTTTATTTAGCAATGTCCAAACAAGGGAGGTACGTATGCACAAGTAGGCGGTTGCAGCGGCACAAGTAGCCTCCTTCTCAGAAGAGAGTTTCGCAGTACATGAAAATCATGGATCATCAGGTTTAAGAAGACAATCCTGAGACTGAGCACCTAAAACCTTGTGTAGAAAATAGAGGAAACGGTGCAACAATTCTGGGAATCTGTCCAAGAGGAAGAAAACTACACAGAGACCGAAGCAGAAGCAAAGGAAACAATGAAGAGGACAGAGCTACAACTCGGGAAGGGGTAGGAGATATATTATCAGCAGAAGCACCACGGATAGGCATGTTGCTATTGCAATAGTTGAAGCACAAGTAGTGAGGCATCCCCCTCACTGAGAGCCTAAGGAGGAGGAGGAGAATTTGGATTTGTGCAATGAGGTCCTCAAGCAAAAGTCTCAGTCTGTCTCGAGTAAGACAATAAAGTGGTGGTTCACTTAAGGCAACCAAGTCGATCAAGCAAAAGTCTCAGTCTGTCTCGAGTAAGACAATAAAGTGGTGGTTCACTTAAGGCAACCAAGTCGAGATACTAAATGTGAGCAGATTTTGACTAGCTAATCAAAGAGCTCTCAAATTGAGCTTACATGCATAATCATCCACAGAGAAACGAGGTCAAACTAGATAATGAATGATAATAGAGCATACATACTTAATCATCCACACACAAACGTCATACATATGGAGCTTACTTTAATAAACATGGTAAAGAAAGAAAGAGCCAAAGGAAAGGGGGTTGCATTGTATCCAACAAGTGATAAAAACAAAGCAGGTTGCATTGTACCTCGATCCAAATTTATGATGAGGAGGCAAAAGGAAGATTAAGATGCCTATAATCCATTCTGGGATACGGCCTGGCCTTAACAACAAGTTTCTTTCCTCCCAATTCAGTTCCATTAAGTTGCATCACCTTCTCATCAGCGTCGTCTCCGACCATGACGATATTAGCAAGGCCGTTGTCAGGATGTCTCCGGACAGAAGCCCTAAGGATTGCTCCACATGACTTGAAATGATTGATCAACGCCTCCTCCATCTCATCCGCAGGAACCGAAGTGTCGAAGCCCTCAACGTCAATAACCCAACTACAATAATAATAATTCAATCAATCAACACATGATGAAGAAAACATCTTCGCATAAACAAATCTCGAAAAAATCAAAGCATCAATTTACCTGCGTCTTGGTTTCTCAAAAAAGGCTTTCATCTCAGGATTAGAAGCAAAAAAGTTCATCCCCTAAAAAAGTACAAAAGATCTAATCAGAAACCATTAATTGATAAACAGAGAGAGAGAGAGAGAGCCATAAGGATTAGGAGAGGAAGATTACTTGCAAGGCTCCGTAGACGGGAGGTGGCTGACTGAACATACCCATGTCCATGGCGAGGTTGAGATGAGTCGATAACCCTAGGATCAATATATTTTTTCCTCCGATTTTAGGGATTTCAGAGGACGACCACCACGACGAAGCTATTTATTATCCTTTTTTCTTTGCTTTAGAGGTTAAAACTGTCTTTTTTCTCTTTATTTCTGCATTGATTCCGTGACGTGGTCCACCAAGTCTCGCCTTCTTTTTTTTTTTTTTTTCAAAAGTCTGATTTCCTTTTATCACGCACCGACCCAACTATAAATCTCCTTTCGATTTTTTGGTTTGTGCCGGTTCGATTCGGATGCACCCAACCATTAACCGGAATTAAAACTTTTCCTCTTCCTAGACAAGTACGTAGACAACTTAACAAGCTGGCGTGGCATATGAAACTTAGAATAATTAGGATTTACACGTTTAAAAAAAAATATATTAATTTTTATTTTTATTTGGACGCATGCAATTTAACCACATTTTATTTTCTTAGAGAGAAACCTAATGATATACTATATTCCTAATTACTAACACAACATCAATGATACGTAGCACCCACACGATAATATTTCTAACACACTAAGACCACCTCCATTGGTGAGGAGTATTATGCAAAGACTTAGCTTAGGATCTTAAGTTAAAAATCAAAAAATCCTGTAAAACATTTTATCTGAGAGAGTTTCACAGGATTAATTCCTTTTCTCTTTTCTTTTTTATCAAACATTTCAAATTTGAATCCTAATATTGCCTCACTAACATAAACTATTGCGTTCTAAAATTTGTTTTCTTTTCAAAAAAAAAAGGAGAAGTCTATTTGGTTTAATTTCTCAATAATCATATTCCATCTTGAAACTTTTACCCCATGATAGTTCCTAGTAGCACTATTATGATAAAAAAAAAAAAAATTGTACCGATTGTCAGAAATTGAAGTTGGTGGAGGTTTCGTAATAAAATATTATTGTTTGTAGAAAAACATTTTCTGATAACACAACTTTAGTTTAGACACCCCTTTCTTCTAGATAGATCTTATCCCATTCATAATTATTGGTGTAAGATTCTTTTAGTTTTAGCAAGATCATTGACGTGGTAGTTATCATCAATAAGTAAAGATCATTGACAACTACGTGGAGCCTATAGCTAACTGCTAAAAAGAATGTTTGTTTTAGATCTTAATATATTAATAAGAACAGTAACATAATGTGTTGGAACATGTAATAATTGGTGTCTTGCCATAAAAGATGATTTACAACAAAAATATTAAGCTTTTACACGTGTACTTTGTGTAGGGGACTGTGACAAAATATGATGAGGCTAATCATATGGATACTTTGTTGATATGAATCTAGAAACTATTCATAGCCTTTATACACCTGTATACTGCATTGTAGTAACAAATTAGTACTAGAGTCTCGTAGTAACCAATTATTGGAAATTTAAACACAACGTCTCACAAAAGAGTATCTTAAAATTATGAATTTCAGTCTATATTATGTCACTATACGATATGATTATTGTTGGTGCAGGAATTAGCACCTTCGACAATACCAACTTAAACCGGACGAATTACGAATCAAATTAAGAATTTAATGTAAACCGAGAAATTTCGGTTAAATCTGTTAATGGGCTGAAGAAGGAGATCGTCTGGCGAGCTCAACTCAAAGACGGGAGATCGCCTGCAACCGACTTCCTCATTAAAGAAAAAGGAGATTTTTCTAGAAGAAAAAAGAGAATCCCCAAAAGAAAAGAAAATCGGAAGATAAAGCCTTGAAGATTTAGAAGATTAACTTATTTCTGAACCGCCATAAACTTGTATAAATAGAGGGGTTTGTCTTCTATTCAAGGGATCCGCAACTTTGGACAAAAAATCCTAATTGTTCTTGAGCTAAACTCTAGCATTGTCTCTAAGCAATAAATTTCACCCTTTCATTCGAGTCTTTGATCAAATAGCAAGAGAGAGTTAATTGAATTTGTTTTTCCCCTTTAAACAAATTCATTGTGTGATTTTCAGAATCAACAATTATCAAATCTGCAATTAATTTTATGTTAAAATCAGGGTTTTTCATTCATGAGTTATCAAATTAAAATCTTTTCGAAGACGACTTCTAATACAAAAGTACAAATACTTTAATTTAAAGATTAGTTGTTTTGAAAAAGAAAAAAAAATCACAAGTGCTAGACATTGTTTAATTGTGGTTTGTATCCCTATCTTTTAGCATATAAAAATGTTCAATATCTGCATATGGTAGAATTGTACATGTTGTAACATTTGTCTCTCTGTGTTAACTCGCCCCACAACACGTTGCAAAGTGTTATTCATATGATCCGATTTTTAATGAATTGTTATAATTTCTTAAATTAATTTTTGGTTTCAGTAAATGGAAAAAAAAAATTCCAATGTTGAATTTAGTTACCAATATTTGACAAAATAAAATTTTAATTCAAAGAATTTAAGAAATCTGTATTGTGTTCAAAATATAGGTTCCGTTTAGATCGGTTTCTACGACCTTCTTATGATTGCTAATAATAAGTAAACAAAAAAAAAAAAAAAGTAAAAAGTAAACAAGTTAACTAGACCATTCCAGGATAATGAGAATCAATCAATCTGGATTGATACAAAAAGTCAAAGTGATATCTCGCAAGCAAATCAACTCAAAACTCGTGCACTTCTTTATTCGTGTCATACCGGGAAATCTTTTTGTTTTTTTGATAAGATTTGGAATGTGAGGAAAACCATATAGCCGGCAGTTTTTAAGTATAAAAAATATTTTCGTAATAAGCGACCTAAAAATGATGATTTTGGAAAGAAAAAAAAATAGAAGGGACTATATAATATACTGTTGAGGAAGATCTGGATCTCGTTACCTACCGAGACCATTTTAACACCGTTGATCATTTTAAATTTGAAAAACTCGAAAGGTCAATTGATAATGTGGCAAAACCGGAGGCAACACAATCGATGACTCATCAGGCTCATCTCTGTGGCCAAATAATTTGACCAATATAATAGCCCGACAGCTAAGAGAGTCACAGATTTGCCAGTAATAATCGGACCAATCAAATTTAAATAATCAATTATTGTTGAAGTTTTGTTGGTTGATAGGCAAAACCCTATGCTATATATACATGTGTAGAGCAAGTTGAATCAAGCAGATCGATCAAAAAAGCAACAAACACTCAAAAACACATTTCTAGAACACAATCAAAACAAAAGCATATTATAAAAAAAAATGTCGAATATGATCGTCAAGAATCAACTAAGATCTATAAGCTTACCTTCAAGATCGCATCCAAGCACGACCGGGGTCGAGGAAGCTCTTAACAAGGTTAATTCGATTAACACCACGACTGGTTCGTCCGAATCAGTCTTGATGGGCTTGGCGGGTTTGGAGGAGCTCTACAATTGTACGGAGGAGTTTCTGAAAATGGGCTCAACGCAACGGGTTTTGTCGTCAGATGGATCTGAGTTCATGGAGGAAATGCTTGACGGTTCGTTGAGGCTAATGGATATATGCAGCGTTTCGAGGGATCTCATGGTGGAGACTCACGAGCATGTTCGTGGTGTTCAATCATGTCTTAGGAGAAAGAAATTAGCCGGAGGAGGAGACCAACTCGATGTTGCCATCTCGGGGTATGTCGGATTTAGAAAGAACATGAGGAAAGAAGCTAAGAAGCTTTTTGGATCCTTGAAGAACATTGATGGAGGATTAAGTTCATCTTTATCGGTAAATAATGGTCAGAAAGAAGAACATCTTGTGGCGGTTACAAATGCAATGAGAAAAGTAGTTTCCGTTAGCGTCTCGGTGTTGAGGTCGTTTTTGGAGTTCTTATTGGGAAGAAAACAAAGTAACATTAAGAGCAAGCTGGCTTCGGTACTAAAGAAAAAGAAGGTTCATCATGTTGAGGAGACCAAGAACGAGTTGGAGAGTTTGGATTCGGCGATATGCTGCTCTTGTGATGATCTTCAAGAGAAGCTTGAGGAGGTTGAGATGAGCATCGATGGGTTCGAGAAGAATCTAGAAGGGTTATTTCGAAGGTTGATAAGAACACGAGCCTCGCTTCTCAACATAATATCTCATTAGATTTTAAAGTATTCATCAGAGCATTCGACTTTAGAGAATCTGCCGGAGGGATACATTATAGACGCATGGATAAGATTTCGTACACTAATTAAACATAAATATAGAGATTAGTTTGTAAAAATAGATTCATTGATATATACAAGCCAGACTTTAATATAAGAACAAATCAAAGTGTAAAATACATATAGCCTAGTTATATATTTACGATCAAAAACTTATAGAAATAAAAAAAATGTAGACTCTAAAACCAAAAAATCATGGTTTAGTTGATTTCATGGTTTAGAAGAGGTGGGAATTCGGTCCGTGGGCCATATGTGTGCCGGTTTAGTTGATTTCCGGTTCATACCAACTGAAAAAACCAAGTTACATATGGGTTTACACACGTGATTATCTTTCGCTATCCGTGTTTTAAATTAAGTTCTGGTAGGGGCAATTTCGTAAAATGAGATTTTGGGGTAATTTCGTAAAATGAGATTTTAAATGGATCCGACGGACGCAACCTTTTAAAGAAAAGGCGCGAGAGAGATCTAAACGAACACGTTAGACACAGAGAAAAAAATAACGGTCATAACCGCCGTGTGATCAGAGAAACTATATAAAGACCACTTCGATGAACATTGAAAACGTGTTACTCTCTATCTCTACAAAGAAAAAATCATGAGTAATCCCGAGAAGTCCAAAATTAATGAGGAAGACATTATTGAAAATTCTGACGAGAGTGATTATCTTTGGAGCGATGAAGAAGGAGAAATCCGTGAAATTGTTCTTGCCCTTCCTGCACTGAGACTCAGTGAGAGTCTCCATGTGGACGAAACCATCCGTAACGAAGCCGCTGCCGCGGCGAATTTGATTGTGGCAGCCGTCGAAGAAGCGGCGGGGAAGACAGATCAAATTGCAAGTGGTATTGGTAACGCTAGTGGGACTCCCAATAGTAAAAAAATTGGTAGGCCACGTGTCTTATTGGAAGCTGAAGCCGCAGCGTCTGGTTCTACCGCCATTGGGACGACAAGTACTGAAAGAGAGGTAGTGAAGAAACCCCGTAGGAAAGGTTCTACCCAGTTGACTCATCTACCTCAAGGCCCTCCTATGTGTAATGTTTGTGGGAAGGGCTTTGCTTCTTGGAAGGCCGTTTTTGGACATTTAAGGCAGCATAAAGATCGTGGTTATCTAGGTTTTCTTCCTCCGCCAACATTCAATGCGGCTGAGGAAGGATTTGGTGGAGTCGCTACTGTTTCTTCCGCTGTTGGAGTCGCTACTGCTTCTTCCGCTGTTGGAGTCGCCATTGCTTCCTCCGGTGGCGGAGTCGCTACAGCTTGTGCCGCTGGTGGAGTCGCTACATCTTCTTCCGCCGGTGGAGTTCCTACTGCTTCTTCCGGTGGTGGAAAGTTAGGTACAGGCACCGGAGCTGTGGGGATCGATCTGAACAAAGATCCCATCGAGGAGGAAGACAAGGCACCTGGACCTAAACGAAAATTTGATCTTAATAGGTCTCCTCCACAAGACGATGAAGAAGAGAAGGACGAGAAAGCCGAGTGAAGGCTTTGGATGATTCTAAACATTTGAGGATTATTTCCTTTTTCTTTATTTGATGGATTCTTTGTTTAATTTCAACATGTGGGCATGCATGCGAAAAACTCTTCCTTAGTTATATTTTTTTCTTCGGTTTGTCGCATTGAAGTACCTAATCTATGATATTGTTACTTAAAATTCTATGTTATGGTGCAACAGAATAAAATTTTCTAATTGCAACACTGCTGGAAAAATAAAATACGTCACTATTGCTACGGTAAATCTTTTTGTAAACCCGAACCTTGACTGTGAAAATGGGATAAGTAAATCAATGCAATCTTTTGTTTGTATATTTATTATTCTTTATTTTATTTTTAATAATACGTAAATAATTTCACTTTTTTCGGAAATATATCAAGTACAAATAAAAAGGGAAAATTAATTCAACCAGAAAACCACATTTTGTTTATTACTATGCGTCATCACAAGTAGGAAAATTAGTTAGTTTCTACTGTTCAAATTTACTATGCACAAGAAGAGTAATTATTATAAATACTAATGATGATAAACTGATAATGATTGGTAATAAATGGAAATGTCATTTGACCAATAGAAATGTAAATGTTCGAAAGTCTACCTCCACGATTATCAAATCAAACTAGGGGAGGTCCCCGCGCCCAGCGCGGGGTTGTATGTTGATTAAGACCAGAATTAATAATCAATATTTAGGGTTATCAAGTTAGGGATATTTATTGATTTAATTTTGTCAAGAGTCTAATTTTTATAACGACATTAATATAGAATTATGGTAAAACCCTATAACTTTTGATATATATTATTAGTAATCAACAATTAATAGTGTTTTTGAATCACAAACAATTATTAGTGTTTATATCTTGATATATATAATAGAATTAAATATAAAAAATCTATATATTTAAACCAACAATATATTAGCAACGCCCCGACGGCCGCCACTGTCCATGGGTTCCCACGTCCAGTCTCGGTCTTTAGGCCCATCTTCTTTGTTTTGTCGTACTCTTGATTTTATGACATATTCATGCTTACTCGTTTCTTTCATATTAGCAACGCCCCGACCGCCACTGTCCGTGGGCTCCCCACGTCCAGTTTCGGTCTTTAGGCCCATCTTCTTTGTTTTGTCGTACTCTTGATTTTATGATATATTCATGCTTACTCGTTTCTTTCATATTTGTAATGCCACGACCGCCAATGTCCGTGGGTTCCCACGTCCAGTTTCGTTCTTTGAGCACATCTTCTTGGTTTTGTAGTACTCTTGGTTTTATGACATATTCATGCTTCCTCGTTTCTTTCATATTTGTAACGCTCCGACCGCCACTGTCCGTGGGTTCCCCACGTCCAGTTTCGGTCTTTAATTTGGGCCCATCTTCCTGGTTTTTGTTGTATTCTTGATTTTATGACATATTCATGTTTTTAGATTGTATGTCGCTGGAGTTTTTCGTAGTTGGAAACAAATAATTGAAAAATATAATCTCTTACCATATCTCTTACCTATCAAGTCATCTTGCTCTCTGAAGTAGTTATGTACGTAAAATTTCAATGGTATAGAAACAGGCATCTCCTTTGTATATATCGTGTCATATTTATCGTCCCTATTGTAGTATCTTTGTCTCTACCTTCGCCATTGGTCGCTGCGTAACCTTTCAGTTGATCTCTTGTTTATAAAACCCATATAAAAAGTTGTAAGAGAAATATCATTTTCTTAACTGTATCGTATATGTATTTGTAGTATATTGATCTGAGATTGCAAAGATGTATGCCTATCAAGAAGCTCTTAGCAAAGTAAACACTGAAGATAGGTACTAAAAATGAGAGGGTTACAGAGAACAAGTATCTATCCCTTAGAAACCACTATGTGCAACTGAGAATAATTCATATATGTACATACATACACATGTATACAACGTATTGAAGCTTTTAAATTTAAATATCGAATGCTACAAAACTGGAAAATTGCTTGTGGAGAAAGCAATATGAACATGGCCACATATATAACAAATAACCGATTATGCTTGTCGTAGATCATTCTCTTTCAAACCAAAAGTTTTACCTAAACAACATATCAAGTGACTCACAAGAGATACATAAGAGCCATATCCTAAAAATATCCGGCAAAGCAAAAACGCTCCAGGTTCGAGAAGGAAGTCATTGGAAAATTTGAGTATATACCAAACTGGAGAGTAATTCGGCTACAAAGAGAGATGTGTTGGCTTTGAAGAAAAAGCTATGTGATGTTCTACCTTTTATTTATGAATTTTATGCTATGAATATATGTTTTTGTTAGGGTTCAACTTCAGTCTCCGGATTAGAGACTTATATTCATCCGACAAACAATTCGATGTCACAATCAACGCTATAAAATTGGTGGGTTCTCTCTATTAACAAACAAAAAAAATTTCTGGGGTATATATATATTTTTTGTTTTGTTAGATCCATACGACGAAGAACATGACGAAGAACACCAAAAATTCTCATCAATCCGGTACGTTTGATCTTATTTTTATTAGTTTAACAATTACGGTTATGTCCGAATCTGAAATAACCATGGCTCCAGACTCCTTCACACCATGGCCACATATCAACGGAGTGGAGACGATTTCAAATTCGGAGCTTCTCTTCGCATATAAAATCATACATATGGTCTCTTTGTTTCGGGTTCCCTCTACAATAATTAGTACATATTACAAAACTGAGCTACAAAAGAGCACATTGGATTTTGGTAAACATCAAGATTGCTTCCTACCTTCCAAGAAACATGATAGACTAATTCACATCCAAGACCAAACATTAGCCGCCACATAAAGCCTGAATCAAATTAAACGATCTTAGGATGCTCTTCATAATCCGTAAGTTAAAGAGACTTGCATTAATATTGCAAATTAGACTCTAGAGGTCCACAATGGTTAATCGGAGTGTATCAAAGACGGCGAATAAAGCATGAATTAGAATATCAGCAGAGGAAGCACACAAATATTCAATAAACGTAATCAATCACTGAGAATAGCATGGACCCAACTTTTGAAAGATTCATAAAAAAGGAAGATTTTTCCTATGCAACAATATTCAAACAATGAGAAGATCAATGATTGATGACTAATTGATACTAGGATTTTACTATCAATTACCCTAATATACTTTCATGTCATTGCAGTATAAGAGGTTATCAATCCAATCAGGTGCTCTTACTATCAATCAAGATGTGATCAGAGAATACTAAGTCAAGCCAAGCAGAATAGAGGTTTGTTTATCTAACAATCCTAAGCGAACATGCATAAAAACGATAAAACTACAGAACAGGAACGATCATGCATAAAGAGAAAGAACTATCAATACTAAGCAGCAATAAGCAACAGGTAAAGAGACAAGTAAATCAAATGAGATAAAAGGTCCTGAGGATAGGGTAATTGATTATAGCAGTCTCCTTAATCTACTTAGGTGGTTAACAATCCAAACAGGCTATCCCTAGACAATAGATTCAACTACAGATCAATCCACTCTCGTGACAGAGATCCTCAAGCAATACCAGTTCCAGACCTAATCATCATTAGCGAAATCTAGCAAAGCAGGCAATAAGATTCAATCTAATATAGTCAATAAACATTCTAAACATCCAATCTCTTGGGCTAGAGTATGTAAATCTCTGGAGTAGTTGGTTCAGACATTTCATCGAACACCTGGTGGGTGTGGAAATGTCTGGGTTCAAATCCCAGTTGATCAGAAAGGAATAAGCACTAAGTACTACTAATCCAGAAGGGATTCAAGCAATTCTACACTTAACCACCTAAATAAACTAAGGATTCCACACCTAATCTATCCCATCCTCAAGAACCCTAATCCACTACTCAGACATGCTCAAGAACACAAACCCAGAAAATTGCACAAACCCAGAAATCGCTAAAAACATCATATGTTATAGATCAGAGCAAGATAAACAACTTTGCAGAAGGAAATTATTGCAAAAACTCAAAGGATCAAAAGTAATTTGGATTACAAAAGTTTGCAGAAATATTGTTCAGAGGATAAAAACGAGATCCTTTGGGCAAAGCCCTAAGAGGTCTATTTATAGCAAAAGTAGAAAACCCTAGTACACAAAACGACAAAATAGAAAGTCGGTTTAGGGTCTACTCGAGCTAGTACTCGAGTGGCTTGGTCGAGTAGTCCATTCTTCAAAGGTTGCATCTTGCTCGGGTAAGTCTCTCAGGTCCAGTTCGAGTAATCTGCTCGAGTACACTGCTCTGGCTCTGCTCGAGTACACTGCTCGAGTACACTACTCTGGAACTGCTCTGGCACTGCTCTTACACTGCTCGAGTACACTACTCTGGAACTGCTCTGGCACTGCTCTTACACTGCTCGAGTACACTGCTCTTACACTGCTCGAGTACACTGCTCTTACACTGCTCGAGTACACTGCTCGAAAATGCAAGAATGCATGCTATGCTAATGTAGAATACTCTAAGTATGCAAAGTGATGCAAAATGACTACAAATGACAGTAAATAAGAGTGAATACTAAGCTAAATGCATAGCAAATGTATGCTAAAAAGAGGTAAAATACAGAGATATCACTAACCATACAACCGCATCAAAGCCATAAACAGAAACGAAAGTACTAAAGAGCCACAACAGCAGTGATACGACATTTGTTTCCTCACACTGGAAACAATGACGTGCTTCCATAAATCCAATCTAGTTTTTATGGAAAACAAACCTGCATTCATAATAAACACTACTATTAATTAATATTTTTTATGCAAGAATTAAATGGCAGTATAAAAAATTCAATGGTTAGTGCCGAAAAAAAAAGCAAAGATTAGTTATGATATCAAATCAAAATTAAATATCAAGCAAGGTATTTACATAAAACTAGATCTGGACCCGCACCTACGTGCGGGAATTTGTTAACATACAATTTTCTGAGTATAGAACTTATGTCATATAGGTTTTGAATGTGTGTATATCAATTTGAATTTGGGATGATTATTAAAAATAGATTATGTGTGACATATTACATGATTGAATATATTGGTATGGTAAAAAATCAAATGGTCGATAAAATATGTATTTGGGTATAGTTTGTATAAAAAATAGTTGGGTTTTGGAAGGATAAGGTTGAAGATTCATGCGGGGTTTTGTTCGTATTTGTATTTTTGTATAGTATAATAGGGTTGGGCATTGTATACTCATTCCATGTATTCGATCTGTTACCCGACTCGTACTTATTTCGAAAAAAGGTACGCTTGACCTAAAGACGGGTAAAGGATATTATAATTTTGTTACCCGTAGATAATGGTCGAGTATTATGTATTAATATTCTTTAATGCCAATATGTTAATTAATGGCCCAAATATTTTTTCCGATCTAGATTGAATGGGCTTTTAAAATATTGTTTTAGGCCCAATTGTAAATCTCGTGGAGCCATTTAGTATTCCATTTGTTTTTATGTATTTACCGTAATACGGGATATTAGTGTATTTGGACAGATATTTGCTGTGAACAATTTGTTGTCTTATTACCAAAAAAAGAGAAAAGGAATTTTAGTAAAAATAACGAAGACCATCGATCGATCTCCAGAATCATATACGATAATCTCATAGGAACATCATCGTCTCCTATTATACCTCTGGTGGGTTTCAATTCGTGAATTCTACGAAGAGGTAATCTATTTATCAAATCAAATTTATACTTGTACAGCTTTTGTATATGTCAGATTCAATTTCCAATCTTTGAAATTTTTTGTTTTAATAGTATAGAATCGCCAAGGATTTTCAAGAAGCCGGATCTCTTAAGGCTGATTTAAAATTAGTTTTTGATAGATTTTTTTTAAGGTTTGTATACGAATTTGATTTACAGTGGTTTTGAATCGTTGTATAGAGTAGCTCTGTATACAGTTAATCTCGAGTATCCGTAGCTTTTTATAGTTTGAAAGCAATAAATTGAGTATATGTGTATACTGTGTTTTGAATTTTTAATTTTTTTTGGTTGTGTATTCTAGTGAAGGATGATTAGCAAGTAATTTCAGACAATGGAGGAGACAATGAGATATTGTCATTATAGCTATTCATAAATATATGTATCAAAGGTTAGTAAGATTCTTAATTTTTAAAATTTTGTTGATTATGTTTGCAGAGTTCCCTGGTTTTATTGAGCTTAAGATACGTTACTTTATATATGGCACATTGTTTTGATCTTGTATTTTAAAACAAAATCATCCTTGCCTGTGTATTAACGATTTAATGTGAAGGATGATTTGCGATACAGACAATGAGACTATGGGAGAAGCTCTATGATTTTGTCAGTGTAGCTATAAGAAAATATATATGTAAAAGGTTGGTGAAATCTCAATTCTTACGCTTTTGTTTCTCAGATTTGCAGCTTTACTTACTGTTATTGAGTTACTTTAAAAAGTTTAACATGTTAATAACAATATTCAATGTTCTAATGTGAAGCATTCGATTCTATTAACATAAAAATATGGAGAAGGGAAGAGTTATATAGTCATTGCCTCATTGGAGATATCCAGAAATATATATGTAAAAGGTTAGTGCCTCATGTGACTTTTATACTGTTGTTTATTCATATTAGTCTTTGTATGTTTAATCAAAAGTAGTATATCATAACAACGATGAAGATCCTGCAAGATAAAGATATAAGGAAAAAAAATTATATGCAAGATAAAGCTATAACTAAACATAAAAACACCTATAAAGATATTCGCATTCAATCGTGATTCATTCAAAATATCTTGATAGTTTACAAATCGAAGAAAACATCATCTGAAAGAGAAGAACACCGAGTGATAATAGTAGTGTTCATGAGGGACATTTTGCAACCATGTTTGGTAGCTCTGTACTTTCCCTTAGATTTTGAGAGAGTAAATTTTTAATAAATCTCCACTCTCCAGAGTTGATAAACCTTTGCAGCTTGTTCATCTGTTGTTTATTTATAGTAGCATGAATCAAAGTAGCCTACAAAATTCACAATTGTAGTAAGCAAAACAATAATCCTTTTTAAATATGAAAGGTTTGAAGTTAGAAAGTTAAAAATACTTACAGAAACAGTAGCAAGAATCATTTTCATTGTCTCTCGTGTGAATTGAATGTGTTGAGTCTATGAGTGAACGATTGTTTTGAAAAGGTTTCACGTTAGCAAGTTTCGTGATAGGAAGATTTGCAGCCATTTTTTTGACCAAAAAAAAGAAGAAATTAATGAAGTTAAGATTTGAAGGATTGTGTGTTATGAAAGTTGATTATCGAGTTTACTATATATACTATTACAGATACAACTCTCATTTTTAGGGTTTACTTTTGTAAATATGAAAATATATTTGCGTAACCGTATTTAATAGAATCATTAATAGAATATGTTTCATTTGATAGGAATATAATATTTTATACTTTTGAAATTAGGCAAATATAATAAATGAGATTAGATCTTATTGAAAACAGATCCTACAAAATTGGTTATGTTCCTTATATGTGATTTAATTTGGCAATTATTTTGCGTTGATTTTCTGTTGATTGTTTAAAAAACCATTAAATGTTAAATATTTTAATCTATCTTGGAAATATTTTTTAGATATTTACAAATTTAGAATCCAAAAAAATAGTTTTTGAATAAGCTGTATTTTAAAGGATGGAAGTATTTCGTTTAGATTATATACGACAAATATAATAAATGTTTTTCATATTTGGAAAATCAAAATTGAAAAATCTTTTTTCCATGTGTACCAATCAGAATTAATTAGCATAGTATTGTTAAGGAAATTTTAAAAAATCGAAACGAAATGATAATTTGTTATTAGATTAGATTGTCATTTTCGAAAGTATCTAATAATATCTTACGAAAATAATTTAGTTTACATATATGCAATTTCGAATTAAATATACACAATTACCCGTTTCGGTTTATTAATTTTCCTTCTTCAAATTTAAAAATATCAAGGGTATTCTTTGTAATTATTTACCTTTTATAAGGTTATATTTTATCCAATGCTTCCCAATTAATAGTATAAATCTACACTATTAATATCATAAACTTTTATAGATTGGTAACATCGTTGATAAATATTTCTCGTTGCAAAATTGATAATATCGTTGATTAAATTTTATAATTTTAGTATTTACCAACCCGCAAATATTTAATTTTATTTAAAAACATATTATTTCTATTATTAATTTAGTTTAGTTGCTAATAATTTAACGTTTACATCTATACTATTAATGTTTACATATTACGATTTGACAAAAACAAAATATTGGATGGAATGTATGTGGCATATTTTTTTGGCTATGTACTTAATTTGTTATATTTTGTATTTTTCAATTAATGACATTCGATTTATGTTGAATTTTTTTGTTTTATCTCTAATAAATTGAAAAATACAAAATATTTTGATTTATATTTGAAATAAATATATTGATTCTGAATATTCAGTTATTATTTAATATTTAATGTTGCTTCCTTTTTTGTTTTTGTAGAAAAATCATACCAAAAATATTTGTTTTTGTAGACAAATCATACCAAAAATATTGACGAAGCAAATCTCGGAATATATTGGATCATTTAATCTCGTTATTTGTTTTTGCAAAAAATTAATGAAAGATCCGAATCAAATATATTTATTTAGTTGTAGTAGTTGTTTATTTACTAAATTACCCATGTAAAAATTCATTTAGTTAGTCTTAAACTACCCTCACAATGTTGTAGTTCACAAAATGCTTCCCAATTAATAATATAGATTTTTTTTGTTTTATCTCTAATAAATTGAAAAATACAAAATATTTCGATTTATATTGAAATAAATATATTGATTCTGAATATTCAGTTATTATTTAATATTTAATGTTGCTTCCTTTTTTGTTTTTGTAGACAAATCATACCAAAAATATTTGTTTTTGTAGACAAATCATACCAAAAATATTGACGAAGCAAATCTCGGAATATATTGGATCATTTAATCTCGTTATTTGTTTTTGCAAAAAATTAATGAAGGATCCGAATCAAATATATTTATTTAGTTGTAGTAGTTGTTTATTTACTAAATTACCCATGTAAAAATTCATTTAGTTAGTCTTAAACTACCCTCACAATGTTGTAGTTCACAAAATGCTTCCCAATTAATAATATAGATTTTTTTGTTTTATCTCTAATAAATTGAAAAATACAAAATATTTCGATTTATATTGAAATAAATATATTGATTCTGAATATTCAGTTATTATTTAATATTTAATGTTGCTTCCTTTTTTGTTTTTGTAGACAAATCATACCAAAAATATTTGTTTTTGTAGACAAATCATACCAAAAATATTGACGAAGCAAATCTCGGAATATATTGGATCATTTAATCTTGTTATTTGTTTTTGCAAAAAATTAATGAAGGATCCGAATCAAATATATTTATTTAGTTGTAGTAGTTGTTTATTTACTAAATTACCCATGTAAAAATTCATTTAGTTAGTCTTAAACTACCCTCACAATGTTGTAGTTCACAAAATGCTTCCCAATTAATAGTATAGATTAAGGCAGTGGAGGATCTAAGAATTTCTTATATGACAATATCTACAACTAAATAAAGAAAATTTATATATTTTTAAAACAGAATCATTATTTGTTTTTTGGTAAGATTAAAACCGAATCATTATCATATTAGTAAAATTATCATTTCTTTATTATTATCCACGTTAATTTAAAAGTTTAAGAGAATATCTGCTTTTTTCTCATAAAAGGATGGAATAATAACATAACTCTTTTAGATTTATAACTATATTTGACATTATCTTATTAAATCTATTAAGATAAATATATTTCTTTTTGAAAAATATAAATAAAATGATAATATAATTATTATAGATTTACAATTATATTATTATCCATGTCAAAATTTTAAAACATTTTACTTTTTCTCACATAGGAAGATAGAACAATAACGTAACAGTTTAAGATTTACAACATAAAAATAATATCAGAATTGGAACGCCAAATCATAATCAACACAATTAACACAACTCTAATGGGAAATTAGAGTTATCTTGTGATTAAAATACTAAACAAACAAAACTAACCGAAACAAAACAAAAGTCTTCCTTTCAAAATCATTAACGTGACGGATTGCTGACTGATTAAGTTGAAGTTTTAGGCATTGAAAGATCTAGAAAGATGATTAAGGTTAAACATTTTTATTTATTTTAAACAACGTTTGAATGTTGACAAAAAAAGAAGAAGAGAGTGTTGGGACCATCGGGAGAGACAACGTTGAGCAGCTGCGAAAGAAGCCAACGTTGTCTATTATATTCCTCACAGTGTTTGATTTGACTTTTGATGACATTACACTCCTGTCCACTTGTTGTCTCGAAAGTATGGAATAATAACAACTATTTTAGATTTACTACTATATTGATACTATCTTATAAAATATATTAAAATTTAAGGGAAAATTCCTTTTTGTTTCAAAAATAAGGCGGAACAATAATATAATTTTTGATTTACAATAGATAGACATGCATGGTATCCATATGCGTCATGTCACGCTGATCCATATTTTTTTCCAAAACTCGATCTAATTGCTATTATGTGCAAAAATCACCGCCGTTCACGTTCATGTTCACGTTAGCACTCCATACCTTAATTCACACGTAAACCTCTCTGCCTATCTCTGACTTCAGCTCTCTCATCTTCGAGTCTCCCCAAGAAAGTTTTTACACCACACCAACATTTCATTCGTCAAAATTAATCGAGTTTGCACAAGGTTACAACCGATTAATAGGTGGTCTTCTACCTTCTATTTACGATTTTATGCTAGTTCAAGTCAATCTCCGGATTAGAGACTTATAATCATCCGACGAACAATACGATGGCGTGATAACCGTTTCTAAATTGGTGGGTTCTCTTTCATTGATCTACATATTATTTTTTTTGTTCGTTTTTTTTTCAAATATTTAGATTGAAACGACGACGAACACGACGATCATACCAAAAAATTTCATCTATTCCGGTACGTTTGATTTTTATTTTAATTAGTTTAACAATTAATAGCCGTTTATGATTAATTTCGGATATCTAAATCTTATTAATTTGAGTAAGGTTAGAATAGTAATTTTTTATGTTTATATTAATGCTCCGATTAATAATTTTCGGATATTTGACATTATCATCTTAAATATATCAATATTATAATAAATATTTTCCTTTTCCGATTTTTTTTTTTTGGTATAATTCCTTTTCCGATAAATTATGAAACGGATCTGTTTACACAAAAGGTAAAAAAGAAAAAAAAAAAAAACAAACCCATCAACCGTCTCCATTCACACGTTTCTTCATTATGATCACGAATTCACGTTCATGGAAGCTTCATCATACATTAACACTTACAAGTTTCTTCGTCGAGTTTTTATCCAAGGTTTCTTCGTCAACTCTGTATTCAAGGTAATAAATATTTGTTCTTTTCATTGGTTAGAATTATAGGGTGCAAGATAGTATTGACGTCTTAAAGACATAACATGGGCAAGATACTATGAGACGCTTGACTATTCTGCTTCGACAGATCAACATGTGAAATTCTATCACTAAATTATTAGATCTCTGTTATTGCTATGAATATATGGTTTATGTTAGGATTTCAAATTTTGCCTTCGTTTAGAAGAATTATATTCACACGACGAAGAACACGATGAATTCGATTAAAGCTTCCTAACTGGTACTTCGTTGTTCCTTTTTTTTTTTTTGGTTAATTATCATGTTTATTGTTTCCAAAATTATTTTTTCCTGGTTAATTCCGAAATTTAATTTAATTTTTCCAAAATTAATTAGATTTTATTAAGGGTAATTAAGTAATTACGTAAAATCAAGGACTCAACAAGAGCCGAGAGTCCGACACGTCAGCAAAAACACTTCTCAAATATTGTTATATATAGATCAGCAGTGACAACTGACAAGCAAATCTAATCAAAATCCGTGCCTCTCTTCCACGTGTCGTAACGCGAGACGCCACGTAGGAGGCAATGTTATAGTTTTCGTTTTTATGGAAGAATATCTCTTTTTATTCCTGAGGAACCGTAACCAGCAAACTACATGTTATGGTAGGAAAAAGATCTGGATCTCATAACCTACCAAAACGACTTCATGAACGTGAAAGGTCAATTGATAATGTGGCGAATCCGTAGGCAACAGAGATTATGACTCATCAACCTTTCTCTTCGTGGCCAAATAATTTGACCAATATAATAATCTGACAGCTCAGAGAGCCACAGATTTGTCAGTAATAATCGGACCAATGAAATTTAAAACATCAATTATTGTTGAAGTTTTGTTGGTTGATGACGTTTCAAAACCCATTGCTATATATATAAGCGCATGTGTAGGGCAAGTTGAATAAAGAAGATCGATCAAAGGAGAAAGAACAAAAACCCTCAAAACACCTTATAACAAAAAACACAAAAGATGGCGAATATGATTATTAAGAAACAATTAAGATCTATAAGTTTACCTTCTAGGTCGCATCCAAGCACGAGTGGGCTCGAAGATGCTCTTAATAAGATTAAAACAATCACCACAGGTTCATCCGAGTCGATCTTGATGGGCTTGGCTGGTTTGGAGGAGCTCTACAATTGTATGGAGGATTTTCTGAAAATGGGTTCAACGCAACAGGTTATGTCCTCTGGTGGGTCGGAGTTCATGGAGGAAATGCTTGATGGTTCGTTGAGGCTGATGGATATATGCAGCGTCTCAAGGGATCTAATGGTGGATACTCACGAGCATGTTCGTGGTGTTCAGTCATGTGTTAGAAGAAAGAAAGTAGCCGGAGGAGGAGGAGATAAACTCGATGTCGCTGTCTCGAGCTATGTCGGATTTAGGAAGAACATGAGAAAAGAAGCTAAGAAGCTTCTAGGATCCTTAAAGAAAATCAATGGAGGGTCTCGTTCATGTGATAATGATCATGAAGATGAACATCTTGTGGCGGTTATAGATGCGATGAGAGGAGTGATATCCGTAAGTGTCGTCGTATTGAAGTCGTTCTTGGAATTCTTGTCCAGACCAAAAAGTAACATAAAGAGCAAGTTGGCTTCGGTGCTAAAGAAGAAGAAGGATAATCATGAGGCAACCAAGAACGAGTTGGAGACATTAGATTCCGCGATTTGCGGAGAAATTTCCTCTCTCGATGATCTACAAAAGGAGCTTGAGGAGGTTGAGATGAGCATTAGTGGGTTCGAGAGAAATCTAGAAGGGTTGTTTCGAAGGTTGATAAGAACACGAGCCTCGGTTCTCAACATAATCTCTCATTAGGAAGAAGTTAATATATGCAATGTAACCTTCGTGAGCATTCGATTTTAGAGAATTTGCCGGAGGAATGCATATTATATAGAAGCATATATATAAAAGATTTTGGACGCTAATTACTAAACTGATATATGTAGAGAAAATGTGTAAAATAGATTCACCATTGCAGTTATATACCCATAAATGTTATGAAACCATCTAAGACTCAAAATTTAAAATGACATAATTAGTTAGAAAGTTTCATAAACTCGAACCGATGTATTGAAACTCTACATTCATTTCTTGATTTATTATGTAAAAGGAGAGGAGAGTTGACTTCTCAGTGTAAACTCACTGAGTCACTGACCTAGAACGTGTAGACAATTATCGCTGCTGAATTTTATGCATGCTAGTATTATACTAATATCAAGCATGAATGTCAAACATGCTGATATTAGTAGCTAATCATATGAAGATGGATGTAAAAGTAGATATTTATTAAAATTGTAGGTTCGAAATCTGATGTACTGAAATTTATAAGTCTATGTATATATGAAATAACGAACATATTAAGCAACTTATTTTAAACAAAAACGTAAATAGTTCTGTTATATTTTCTTTTCCATTAATTGTGAAGAAATGTCACTTACAGTGTAAGATGGATTTAAAATAAGATTTAGAAAAATAGCCAAATATATTTTTATTTCAGTTGGTTTAATTAAGAAGCTCATTCTCCATTGTTATTTTTTGTATCCAATTGCACTATTAATCTCTATACCGAGATTTTACGAAAATCCTTAATAACGGCTACACTTTCGAATACCTTTACCGTAGGTATATTTCCATCATATTGTCGGTATAGATATTTCCATCAAAATATAAGTCATAGATTTTATATTAATAAATAAATAGTTATAAAATTTTAATTAGTCACTTCCACAAATTTACATTTTGAAAATTAAAGTCATTTTCTCTTGTCAACCATTGTATCAAAAGTGCCATTACTTTTGGTCTCGATTGACACTTTATTTTCAACGATCCGTATATATTAATCCTTAAAGCGAAAAGATCCCAAACTCGAACCAAAAGGTGATCGAAACCTGATAAATGGAAAATCTGATGGTCACTCCTAAATTCATGGTAACATAATTGCTGACGTGTGACGGTGTTATTCAAGGGAGGCATCGATCGTCTTTTACGTGGGACCACATCATCCGTGCATACATGTATATATATCTCATATTTCTTACATAAACAATGTAACAAAATCTTCCAAAGATCTTGAAATTAAATTCAATCGAGGTACCCACCAAAAAAAAATTGAGCATTGTATTTGTAACCTTCAAAAGAAACAAAATCCAACGAGACTAAAAATAATTAAATATTAAAGATTTGTAAATGGACGGTGGCTTTGGTGCATGAAAAGAGGTGTGAAAAAGGTTTCGGTTATAGTAACCGAAACTGAAACATCGAACTTCGACAACGATTTAAATCAATAATCAAACGACATAGCATTTATTGAGCCTTACGTGTTCTGTTCTTCCTTAGTGAAGTACCCACACTCACTTCACATGGTCTTCACGTCTTAGCTAAGCTAGGCCCTACTCATTGACATTTATGTCATTATGTGTATTTATATAAACCTTAGAGTTAAAGGACCGAACAAAGCATAACTCGAGTAACCCATTTTCATTATCATTTCTTGAGATGTATATGTCCTCATTGTCTCCGAGACTCCACAAAGCATACAAAGCTAGATGTGTTAGCTTACCGGTTCGGTCTCATCCGAGTGTTAGGAGGATTCAAGAAGTGGTCTCCAAGGTTAGAGCTTTGGGGTCTTCTTCGTTAGACTCGAGGACGATGGTCCGTGACGGTCTCTCTGGTCTCACCGAGCTTTACAGATGTTTAAGTGAAGATCTCTTCAAGTCTTCTTCTGAAACTCAACAAGCTCTTCTTAACGGTGACGGCTTGATGGAAGAGCTTCTTGAAGTATCACTGAAATACTTAGAGGTTTGTGGAGGAGCTAAGGACGCAGCGTCGAGGATCAAGAAGATTGTTGTCGAGCTTCAGTCTGCTTTGAGAAGGAGCAAGAAAGGAGGTGAGTTTAGCCTCGAGAGTGACGTTGACGCTTATGTGGCGTCTAGGAAAGAGATCAAGCAGGAGATCAAGAAGTATATGGTAATGTCGAAAGAGACAGATGCGTCTTTAGAGAGTGTTTGGTGTGATGGTGATGATCAAGAGATGAGTGCTCTGGTTAGAGTGATGCAAGAGACGAGTGTAATGACTTGTTTCGTCTTACGCTCGGTCTTCTCCTTCTTGTCTTCGCCGAAAGGGTTAAAGACTAAGAATCATCACCACCGCAAAGGTTGGGGGATTGTTATGAAGCTTGTGAAGAAAGGAATGGATCATCATCACCAGGAGAAAAGAGATCATGAGACGGGATTTTCTTGTCTCGTGCTTGAAGCTATGGAATCTGAGCTTGGGAAGCTTGTTGTGATGACGACGAGGGAAGATCAAGAAGAGGAGAAAAAGATTAGTGAAGAAGTATCTGAGAAGGTTCAATGTACATTGGTTAGATCCGAAGGTGTAGAGGCAGCCATGGAAGAGCTTGAAGAGGGACTTGAAGGATTGTTCAAGGTAATGATACAAGCTAGAGTCTCTCTTCTTAACATCCTCTCCACTTAATTCAAAATGGATCAGATTCGAATTTCTTGGTCTGGATTTGGAAATAAATTAGTTGCACTTGACCAAGTCGATTGGGTTTAAAATCTTGGTTTGGTTTATTTGTTTGTTCTTGTATGTTGTGAGAGAGAGTTTAAACATGCGTCCATGTTTTAGAGGATGTGTGTTTGTTGTAAGTGTGTACATCGTTCAGGTGTGAACAACTCTTGTAAAGTTTTATGTACTTATAAATATCTATTATTTTACCACATAGAACGATAAATTTAAAGAGAGAAAGACGAATGCAAAAGCATAACTTTAATGTTTAGAATAGGATAATTACTGATTAGTATTAGTTTTTCCGTTAAAAAAAAGCAATTTAGCTATAGCATAACGTTGAAGTAAATAATTAATCAAATGTCACAATCTTCTCAAAATGAAAAACCAAAAAAAAGGGCTAATATTAAACGTTGAAGTAAATAATTAATCAAATGTCACAATCTTCTCAAAATGAAAAACCAAAAAGAAACGGGCTAATATTAAAGAGGCAAAAGTCGTCATATTAAAATGTCATCCAAAATTTACATAAATTAAACAAACAAAATCATCCATTGATTACAAAAATGTCATGATTATTGTTGGTAGACTTTGACATACCTTCTTAGAATTGATAATGACAGGAATATTTTTGTCCTTTAAATAATTTCTTATGTTAAATTAATGACCAAACTTAACATTTTATTTTCTCATTTTTCTTGAAAATTAGTCGATAAATCTCTCACTTTCTTTTGGAACAATAAACCATTGAAAATGGAATTCAGTGGCTAAAAGCCTAAAAATGGGAGTGGCGGTACTTCCAAAAATTTATTTTCCTAGCTTGATTAACACAATTCTCACTTAAATAGAAAACCATATTAAACACTAGTAGTACTTTTTATTACTTGCGATTATAATTCATGTTTTTATAGGTGGAGGACAAACGCAATAACAGCCTGTACCAAAACATAATTCTTTGCATGGTGGCGTACAAAAACCAAACCCATTTTGCTTAACCGTTAGTGAAGCTTCAGGATGGAGAGAAGTTTCTTCAGGTAAGAGACGTTTCGCCTCAGCAATCTGAACTGTCACGAATATCATCACTACAACACATAAGTGTAATAAACATTAGTAACACAATTCAATTCTTTATAATCATATTATAGTACAAAAACATTAAATTTACCAGTAAAAGCTAAAAGGATGATGAAAGCAGACTTAGACGAAAATTTTCCCATCATCATAGAAAGACTCTGTTTTTTCTCGATAACTTTGTGGACTTAGAAAGAGTTGGTGAAGAAAACGATGTGAGATAGACAATGTTGTATAACGTTTTTATAGAATAGAGAAAGTGTGCTAATTAAGGAAAATTAATATCAAAATTTTGATTTGTGGTGAAAAAGTAACGAAATTGAGAATGAGATAAGATAAGATCAAATCTTCTATTAAGGTCGACAATCAAATTGACAATTGTCACCTAAGATTATCTATTAATTAAAGATGATCAGACCGTATTGATAAAAGTAAAATATGTTCTGACTCAAAAGAAGCCCATTAACAAAACCCACCCAAGCCCATTATATAATCAATCAACAGGCCACGGTGACTTAGGATGCTCGTTGGGGTTTGGCAACGTGTCTAAGACACAACGGCTATATTTTGACATGGTCCAAGTCCAGCTATCATCATCATAAGTCGGTGTGTTCTTGTGGGACCTCTAAAAAGAGCGTTACTTTCCTAATTTCAGCGGACCGTTACATTCACACTCACACACACTAGCCTTCTTCTTCTTCTTCGCCAGCTTCATCTCCTGCTTCTGTGTCAGAGACCAAGAAAATGACGGCGGCCGAAGTAGCTTCTGCGCAGACCAAGAAGCTCATGAAGTTCAGTCTTTCTCTCTTCCGTCGTGGTTTTAACTCCTCTAAATGGTACTCAATTTTAATGATTTGATGCTTCTTAGATTCTTAAATTCACTCAATCTGCTTCACTGCGAAGAAAAAGTTGGTCTTGAATGTTTTTTCCGTGTTTGATTTGGGGAAGTTGGAAAAAGTTAGGTTTTTTTTAGTGTGTTGATGCTTTTTATCTCGAGAATCGATCTGGGTATTCTCAGTTTTTTTAATTCAATAGAGAAAAACAAGAATTTTGATCTGCGTTTGAGAGATTTCCGATCTGGACTTTTCTAAGATTAAGCATCTGATCAAAGCCTGTTTTTTTAATCGGCAAAAAGCAAAACGGCAGCGAAGATGGCTGTGGCTCGGATAAAGCTTCTAAGGAACAAGAGATTAGTTGTGGTGAAGCAAATGAGGCGTGACATCGCTGTTCTTCTTCAATCTGGTCAAGATGCCACCGCTCGAATCAGAGTATTTCACTTTCCTGCTTCACTTTTTAGAGTTTTTTTCCCTGCAATTTTCAGTTCAATGAACATTTTGCTTTTTGACATATTTCAGGTTGAGCATGTGATAAGGGAACAGAACATTCAGGCAGCAAACGAAATCATTGAGCTTTTCTGTGAACTTATTGTTGCTCGTCTCACTATCATCACTAAGCAAAAGTATGTTCATATCTACTATCAGTTTTCATTTGTCTCTTTACTTTGCTTCAATTTTGGTTCTTATATATGTATGTGGAAAAGTAAAATTTTGGTTCATCACTAAGCAAAAGTACTTTTACTTTTAGGCAATGTCCTGTGGATCTTAAGGAAGGTATTGCTAGTTTGATTTTTGCTGCGCCTAGATGCTCTGAGATTCCTGAGCTTGGAGATCTTCGAGACATCTTTGAGAAGAAGTATGGGAAAGATTTTGTCTCTGCTGCTACTGATTTGCGTCCTAGCTGCGGCGTAAACCGAATGGTAACTAAATCATTCATATGTTTCTGATTAGTTTAACTCGACCCGTGATTCGTTTAGATGCCATATGAAATCTTGAACTTGTTTTCTTCTTTCTTGTGCGTTTATAGTTGATTGATAAGCTTTCGGTTAGAAATCCCGGTGGAGAATGCAAACTCAAAATCATGAAGGAAATTGCAAAGGAATTCCAGGTTGATTGGGATACTACAGAGACGGAGCAAGAACTTCTCAAACCTCAAGAAGAAAGCATAGTATGTCTCTTAATCTCCCTTTCAGCCTCCTCTTTTTTTTTTTTTAATATCAAAATCAGAATCTAAAAGCTGTGTTCTTCTTGTGCGAACAGGACGGGCCATGTAAGTTTGTTAGCGCTTCAAGCTTACCAGTTAATCGTGAAGCTATCAACGAGCCTTTTGATCCTACCAAAGCAGTGCCCAGGTATGTATGCATTCCAATCTTTTGCTTCAACAATGTCCAAATAAGGGGTCTGAAACAATGAAGTATTTTTGTTGTTTTCCTCATCAGATCGACTAGTAGCATGAGCATCAACACGCATTATCATGACACCGAGTCAGCAGCGGAAGCAGCTACTGAATTAGCCAAACAGGCAGTTGCAGCAGCACAAGTAGCCTCCTTATTAGCTACCAGAAGAGACAGCACCAAGGAATTCTCTGTATCTTCTGATCATTCAACAAACCAGAAGGATTCACAGTACATGGATCATTATCATCATCATCTAGGTTCAAGAAGAGAATCACGAGACTCCGAAACAAGTTCCTATTACGCAAAACCTAGTGCAGAAAACAGAGGAATGGGTATAAGACACAGCTACAACAATCCGGGTATTAATGAATCTGACTACGAGGGAGACTACACCAAGACCAAAGCAGAAGCAAAGGAAACAATGAGGAGGAGACACAGCTACAACTCTCGATCAGTTCCTCCTCCTGCAACTTCTGAGATCAAGTTTGATGAGTCAGACTACTACGAGGAAGAGACAGAGCCAGAAGAACCATCACATGGTCGTGTTTCTTCTCTCCCGCCAAACCGAGAACCTCCTCAGGCTCCTCAGTCCGGTGAGTCCAGACGGGACTCAAGCGGTCACCATGTTCACCCAAAACTGCCTGACTATGACATTTTGGCCGCACGTTTTGAAGCAATCAGACACAGTAAAGGGCCATTGATCTGAAGCCAATAACTTTCACTACTGCTATATATAGAAAGAAATCACGTACGGGATAATGCAATTATCATGTTTAGTTTTTTGTATGAAGAAGAAGTAGAAAGATGCATTTTTTTTGTTATACTTACTATATAACGGTTCGGTTTTGTTGTGATCTTGTCTGAAACTATAGTTAAACCGGTCCAGGAAATCTGAATTGGAAACTGGCTTTTCAGAAATCCAAAGTATAGATTCCATGCAAAACTGTAATTGGAATCAATTTCTATTAATCTTTGTAAACTAATACTAGGGAATGCTTATCTAATTTAATGGTGCTGCAAGAGTGGAGAAGAAAGTAGAATTTGGACAAAAATCAGAAACCAAGATGAAGATTTCAAGGACATTATTATACTTCCCAGGGGACAACTCTATGCCTTAGATTTAACTGGTGCAATTTGGTGGATTGGTTTATCACAGCTCAGGCTCGTTGAATTCACACCTTCAACTCCAATGGACTACTACGAATATGATAGTTGCAAAGACAAGAGACTCGTGGAGTATTGTGGAGATCTATGCATTATTCATCAACTTCCTGCAAAGGAAGCTTATATCGAGAGAACCATTGGTTTAAAGGTTTATAAGATGGAAGAGGATTTGGCAAAGTGGGTCGAGGCACTCATTGTGGGCTTGTGGCAAAATCTTTTATTTGTTTTAATGTCATATATAATTTATTAACCAAAAAATTGGCCGAACATAGTATAAAATTGACTTTTCTTAAGAAGGAAAATAAATTATAAACTTCAAAAGGTGCATCTTAACATTAAATAATTTTTTCACTCACTTCTTGACACTTTTTTGGTCTATATATAAATTTGGACTAAACAATAAATAAAAATTTCCACCAAGAAACTAATATTAGACTTATTAGTCAAGTCAAGAAGTGAAAATTAATTGTAATAGGGAATCAATATAAATTAGTTAAGCATTCAATGAAAAAATAAAATAAAAGTAAACAAAGCTCTCCTATATAAAAGGTAATAATATATTATTGTTGACCAAGAGATTGATTTTTCATGTAAGATTTTAGACTATAAATATATACATACCTTATTTCGATTTGTCCATAGATTTTTCAGATTATTTGAATCTCAACAAACAAAGAGAGATGAGTGAAGTGATCGTGTGGTCTGATTTACCCGGAGACCTCCTCGATCATATAGCCAACGGTCTCTTCTCCAAAGTCGAGCTTCTCCGGTTCCGTAGCATCTGCAAAACCTGCCGTTCTGCGGTTGCGACCAACAAGAGTTTTCTCGACCACCTCAAACGCAACCGTAGACGCCTTCTTTCTCCTTACAGTACCGGTAAAACGTGTTCACTTTCTCCCGCAGCTTTCTATCGTGTGGTTCTCTCGTCATATCCGGACAAAGGATGGCTTATCAAAATTCAAGATGTCTATGTCTCCTCTCAAAAGCAACTCCTTTCTCCTCTCTCTCGTTTCTCGATAAAATCTTCCGGCCAAACCCTAGATCTCTTGGAGTTCACGGTTACAGAGATGCATCAATCTTACGACGTGGAATACTTATATAATTCGACAAGAACATCGTTTAATTTCGCTAGAGTTGTTCTATTAGAGGACTTGGTTTTCGTAGTTGATTACTACAAGAAAATCTGGTGGTGCAATAGTAACGAAAGTGATAATCAGTGGGCAAGAGTCATGGATGAAGAAGTTAAACTTTTCTCGGATATTGTATTTCACAAAGGTTATATGTATGCCTTAGACTTAAAAGGCGCAGTTTGGTGGATTAGTTTATCTGAGTTTGAAATATTTCAATACGGACCTTCAACTCCACTGGACTACTATGACATTGATACTTGCAAAGACAAGAGGTTTGTGGAGTATTGCGGAGATCTATGCATTGTTCATCGATTTTGTAGGAAATTTCGCCTAAAGCGAGTTGATATCGATATAACCGTTGGTTTTAAGGTTTATAAGATGGACGAGGAATTGGTTGAATATGTTGAGGTTAAGTCTTTGGGGGATAAGGCTTTTGTGATGGCTACAGATAGTTGCTTCACTGTCTTGGCTAGAGAGTATTATGGATGTTTGGAGAATTCGATCTATTTTACTGACGAGGAAGAGCGAAACAATGTTAAAGTGTTCAAGCTTGGTGATGGTAGTATCACTAAGATGGTTGATTCTTCTTTTCAGAGTTGTTTTCAGATGCTTATTCCTCCTTTAGTTTGATCATGTTTTTTTCATTTCTCTTGTGTCCATTAGAGTAAAAATTGTATTCAAGGTTTTAAATTTGCTTGTTACTTTTATTTTTTTTTCCTTTCATATTTTATGATTTTGTTTGTTACTTACTTTAATTTGAGTAAACTGAAATTGCAAAAAGAACAAGTGAAATTTGCATACTCTTTGAGACTTTTTTAGAGTTTGTATTGTGACAAAACTCATTTATTATTGACCGGTTAACTAAATTATGGTTAGGTTGAGATTATTTGGTTTGGTTATCGTCAAACGGCGTCGTTTGTTGTTTTCCCAATTCTTCTTCACTTTCCGCGGCGTCTTGAGGAAGCGTCGACAAATTCTTTGAAATTTCCCCAGAATCAAAATATCGTCTCTACAAATTTGTTAGTTTCGTCGAGACGTTGAATAGGTGACTAGAGATATGAATAAATCGCCGTTGCCGGTGCAGAATGTGCATAGCTCCGATAAGAAGGTTGCCGGAAAAGAAGCATTGGTGAAGCTTTTGAGATGGCATTTCGGTCACGCAGATTTCAGAGGGAAGCAATTGGAGGCTATTCAAGCTGTTGTCTCTGGTAAAGTGGTAACTCATACGAGTTTTTCTCTTATACTCCGGAGAATATTGGAATTTGATTGTTTTTGAATTCTCTTCGCTTCTGTATGTGTGTTTGATGAGATTAGGAAGGGATTGCTTTTGCTTGATGCCTACGGGAGGAGGAAAATCGATTTGTTATCAGATACCTGCATTAGCTAAACCTGGAATCGTCCTTGTTGTGTCTCCTTTGATTGGTAATCTATTTTTTTTTTCTGATTCATTAATGGAGAATCTCTGTTTTTATTGGTCTCTCTAACGATGTGCTTTGTTTCCACTCTCATGCTCTCGTGTTTTTTTTTTAACTTCTCAGCTTTGATGGTAAGTGCCATTGTTCTTTTCTTTTTGTGTTCTTCTCTTTTAAGTTTTTTTTGTTAATGGTTTTTGAAGAAGCGTTTTTTTGTTTCTACTTAGGAAAATCAAGTAATGGCGCTGAAGGAGAAAGGTATTGCTGCTGAGTATCTCTCATCTACCCAAGCTACGCATGTTAAGAACAAGGTGATTTGACTATAGTGTGTTTCTTGGTCTGTGTGACTATATATGCGACCTGACTCTATGCTTTGTCTATTATCTTATCTCTTTCACCAATTCCTTTTCTTAAAATTCTAAATTCATGCCATTTGCTTTGCTATAACATTGATAAATCACTTGGATGATTGTTTCACTTAAGTGTTTTATGTTGATTATTTGATGAGCCCAGTTATCAATTTTTGTTTTTGTTATATTGTTTAATCTCCCTGGATGTGGTTCTTGACTTTGATTTTAGATCCATGAAGACCTTGATTCTGGAAAACCCTCTGTAAGATTGCTGTATGTTACTCCAGAATTGATCGCAACTAAAGGATTTATGTTGAAGCTGAGAAAACTCCATTCCAGAGGTTTGCTAAATCTTATAGCTATAGACGAGGTAAGGCCTTGTAATGCCTATACTAGAGTAACCAGGAAAGCTTAAGGTGTTTAACGTGAATGTTGGCTTTAATTTTCTTGAGTGTTTATTTGATATTTCAGGCACATTGCATCTCATCATGGGGCCACGACTTCAGGTTCATAATTGGTGATTGTGTCAGTATTCTTGTCCATGGGCGCTTACTAAAAAGTCTAACTTGTTTTGTCACATTACAGACCTAGTTATCGTCAACTTTCAACCTTGAGAGATTCTTTGGCAGATGTTCCAGTGTTGGCTCTAACTGCTACTGCTGCTCCCAAGTGAATTTCTATTTCAATGCATTAAGGAAAACGTGTGTAAAATTGTAGATCTTTTTATTAACAGCAATTCTTTGCAGGGTACAAAAGGATGTTATCGACTCATTGAATTTGCAGAATCCTTTGGTCCTCAAGTCTTCTTTCAATCGCCCAAATATCTTCTATGAAGGTTTCCCTTGAGCTATTAGTTTGTGTTATGATATTTTCTCTCTGTAAACTGTTATGAGGTGTTCCAAATATTGTTTTGTTTGAAAATCTTTCAATACTGTTTGATTTCTTTCCTATCATCTAAATAAGTTTTTGTTGGTGCAGTTCGTTACAAAGATCTTTTGGATAATGCTTATACTGATTTGGGAAACTTGCTCAAGTCATGTGGAAATATTTGTGCGATTATCTATTGCCTTGAGCGTACAACCTGTGATGACTTGTCTGTTCATCTTTCCAGTATTGGGATCTCTTCTTCAGGTAAAAATCTGTCCCATCTACCTCTATCTGCTTCAATATTGAGCCACAAGCGCTGACATTTACATCCATATATTTGTAGCCTATCATGCAGGACTCAATAGCAAACTAAGGAGTACTGTTTTAGATGATTGGCTGTCCTCGAAGAAGCAAATTATTGTTGCCACTGTGGCTTTCGGGTATGAATAACTCTGTGAATTACCTTGCATTTGGGTCCTGGATTTATTATGATCATCATCTTTACGTCTTATTATGTTTGGGAGCTCGATGGGGCACGTGGTAAACTTCTAACGGTTTTCCTACAGAATGGTAAACGAAGATTCTCTCTGATGTTGCATCTGTTTAATTTTTTACTTCTGATGTACTGTAGCATGATGAGACTACTGACTTTCTAGGGCATAGATAAGAAGGATGTCAGAATGGTTTGCCATTTTAACATTCCAAAATCAATGGAATCTTTCTATCAAGAGTCTGGTAGAGCAGGTCGGGATCAATTACCTTCAAGAAGTGTATTATACTATGGTGTAGATGACAGAAAGAAAATGGTAACCTTAATCTGGTTATGACAAGTCTTGGCTTCACTACTTTCATTCTACGTGTAAGTTCTATAACTTACTCTACCAACTTTTTGCTAGGAATATCTTCTACGGAATTCGGAGAATAAGAAATCCCCATCCTCTAAGAAGCCTACATCTGACTTTGAACAGGTAAATGCTTTCTTCTTTCTTCTAGCCTCTGTGTATTTTAGTTTAAACTTATTTCTGCATGTATTTAGATTGTGACGTACTGCGAAGGTTCTGGATGCCGAAGAAAAAAGATTCTTGAGAGCTTTGGTGAAGAGGTGTGATTTGTATTTTACTGATTCATGTATCAAATCCTTTATTTTTCTATCAAAGTAAGCTGCGGACTTTCTTGTTGCAAACAGTTTCCTGTGCAGCACTGCAAAAAAACGTGTGATGCATGTAAGTATCCAAATCAAGTTGCTCATTGCTTGGAGGAGCTCATGACCACTGCCTCCCGAAGACACAATTCTTCTCGAATTTTCATCACCAGGTTTTGCTTTTAACCGCATCTAAATGTGCAGTGAGGTATACAGAGTCTAACTGAACTCCATGCTCATTCTTTTGCAAGCTCGAACAATAAGACCAATGAGGGACAATACTCTGAGTTCTGGAATCGTAATGAAGATGGAAGCAATTCCGATGAGGAAATATCAGATTCAGATGGTAACTCACTTTACTGATTTTTACTTGCATGCATGTCCAATCTTTTTGAATAAACTTCTAGTAGCTTTATCTCTAACTCACACGTTGAATCATCTACACCCAGATGCCACTGAGGCTGCCAAGAGCCTAGCAGGACCTAAACTATCGAAAAAGTTGGGACTAGACGAGAAATTGGTTTTACTGGAGCAAGCTGAGGAAAAGTACTATGAAAGGAACAAACAGGTTTGGTAACAAATTCACTTTATCTTCTTTAGAAACAAAAAGTTAAAATCATTCTTCCAGTTTAACTTAGCAAAACGTATTCGAACTGTTTGCAGGTCAAAAAGTCCGAGAAGAATGCAATATCTGAAGCACTAAGGGATTCGAGCAAGCAGAGACTCTTGGATGCGTTGACACGAGTACTTCAGCTGCTCGCCAGTGTAGAGGAGTAAAAATCTCTAACATCTTCATAAGTCTACTTTAGTTTACGAAGGTTATGGGTCTCTCTCTTATATCATTGATTGGAACCCAAAATTAATATTTTGCAGGATTGATTCCCAGAAAGGATCTGAGTTTCTTGAAAATGAGTGCTATAGAAAATATAGCAAAGCAGGAAAAACGTTTTACTACTCTCAGATAGCGAGTACTGTGAGATGGCTAGGAACTGCAAGCAGAGATGAGCTAATGACCCGACTTAGCTCAGTGGTTAGTTTGGCTAGAGAACAAGAGCCATTAGAAGAGCCGTTGCTGGTGACTGAACCAGCAGAGAACACAGAAGAAGAAAATGATGGTAACACTAACACGGTCGAGTCATGGGTGGATGAACCGACACAGGAGCTAGTGGTGAGTCCGATCCTTTCGCCTATAAGGCTTCCACAAGTTCCATCATTCTCAGAGTTTGTTAACCGGAGAAAGATGAAACAAAACAGATCGATAGATAAATCTTCTGAAGGATTTGATGACAAGAAACCGTCAAAGATAATGAAGCTTCAATAAAAAATGTAGCTGTTAACCCCCTCATGATATTGTTTACTAGCCAAAAACGTTTTTTTTTCCAATTTCTTTTGTAGTTTAGCTTTAGCATTGGCCCATTTGTCTGTTAAAGTCGTAACATACACAATACTTAGTGTTCCACCTGATTGAATAGACTTACTGATGGTAAACAAGTTAAACCGATGTAAAAACCAAATTAATTTTTGTGTGAAAGTGGTTTAAATCCCAAACACTAAATTTTATATATTAAACCGACAAGTCACTCTAATTTGAGGGATAGAACTTGATATTTGCAGCTGTAAATTTAACATAGCTTTTTTTTTCCTTTTATAATGTTCCCCTTAATCATCTTACAAAAGGACTTATTATTATATTCACATATGACATTTCCCATATACATTTTCCAGACTAAACTCACAACCACCAGGTCCACCACCACTAAAGAAAAAAAAATCTACAAATCTTATGATTAAAAAAACTAATTAAGACAAAAAAAAATATTTAAGAAAAAATCTAAAGATTCTCCTCCTTTCCCTTATCCAAACGCCAACTGCTTTCTTTTTTTTTCCATAAAAAACGCTCACGTTTCAAAAAGCACACCTACTGTATTTGCAATCTTTTTCATATATTATTAATCGTATATTATATGATTATATGGTTTATAAGATACGATCCGATATCATTCTGTAGTGGGTGGTGGAGTTTTAGCCTTTTACGCTATGAGATACACCTCATGGAGAAACTTGAGACTGATGAATCCACGGTGGCTCCGGCGAAAACCCTAGCGTGGTCGCTCTCTTGACCGTAATCCATCATCGGACGATACTCCAAATCATCATCGTGATCGTACACAAACTCCGGCATCTCTATCTCGTTCCTCCTCACATGTTCCCACAGATAATCAACTCTGCTTATGTACCTCAGCTTCCCGTACAACCTACCGTAGCCAATCACCACACCAATTAAATTAATCAACGTTTAAGAAAAGTCGTTGACCAGAAAATTAAAAAAAAAAAACGCGGCGGTTAGTTACTCACCCGCCGGAGAAGAGAAATCGGCCGCAAGTGGCGAGGAAGAGACGTGATTGAAGACCTGGATGCAGAAAGTAAACCTCCTGGAGATTGTCTCTGACGTTGACAGGAATCGCGTCGTAGATCGCTCTAAGAGCTGAGATTCCGGGGAAATTCTCGCTCCTCTGTACACCGGTGTGGACGTAAAGTACGGCGAATGGTTTTCTACCTAATCGAGGAAAGATCTTCTCCTCTAGATACTTCTTTAACACATCCAGTGACAGAAATCGAGCTGATTTCAGAAAAAAAAAAAAAAAAAAAAAAAACTCAAATTAGATTCCAACTCAATATAGAAAAAAAAAAAAAAGCAGATCCGATTGTTATATAAGTACCTGGGAAGAATTTGCCGATAATACGAAGGATCTTACGGCCACGTTTGTCTCTGCCATGGATCTTGAAGATCTCAAGCTTCTCGATAAGCTGCTCTTGTTCGATCTCCGAAATCTGAGAACTCATCGTTTCTCTATCTCTTGTTTCGACGGTGAAATTCACAGTTGAATTATAGAAGAAGAAGAAGGGAACAACAAATGAGGCGAGTGAAGACGATGATAATCATTTTAAAAAGGGAAAGACAAAAAAGGAAAATACTAGTGTATTAATTGGAGGGTAATGGGAGAAACGACGGGCTCTTACGAATATTCTATAGCATCTTCCTTTTTAACATCATCTTCCTCAGTCCTCACCTCTTTGTGGGTCCTACATTCCAATAACTATTACCCTTTTTGCCCTCTCTTTCCATCTTTCGTTGTTAAGCAAACTAATCTGGTCCATCCGTTTTTGCTACATCTAACGGCTACTGCCTTTTTTGACTCTTTTCCCGCCCACGCTCTTAACTCTTAAGCGTTACGTCTCATCACATGATTCATGTATGTATGGATAAGATAATCGTTATTTTGGATCATCTGGTGTTGAGCAAAACTAATCTTACCTTATAATAATAATTAAAAAGGATTATAAAAGATCTCGATGTTCATATCCAATTGAATCTTAAAAAACTTTATCTAGTGCATATCAAACGGATAATAGAGGCGATATTTCTGGATCATTATGACAATAGAAAAATACCCAGGAGGCACATGCATAGAAAGGTATTCAAATGAGCACCAAATCTTGGAGGGCTCATAAACATATACTAATTCTCTACGTTTCCCATCTATGCTATCTCTACACGCATATATCATATACAAAATACATACAAGTGTGACTCTTATACTTTCACACCATACTGCAGATTCTCGAATTAATAGTAAACCTAACATGTTTTGGAAATTGGAACCTATGAATCTTTCAATGATAAAATAGTGATGCTCAGGTGTAGTAGGCTAAGAGATATACATGAAGTAATGACCTCCTATGGCAACAATAAGTACTTTAATCACTTGCATTACTATGGAATACCCTATATTTACGGATCAAGCAAAGAACATTTAAGGATTCACCTTAATATTTTCTGCAACAATACAATATTTACTGAAGTTGATTGGCCGCATTTGCCTGATCAAGGCTGAATCCAGACATCTCTGCTAGTTCAGCAAGTTCTATTTCTCCGCTTAAGACCTAAATTATAAAAGAGGTGAAATAGGAACTGACATGTGATGAAATGTACAAGGGATTCTGAGTATTTACTCACCTGATCATTTATTATCCATGTTGGGAATCCTTCGATCCCAGCATCTGCACATGCCTTGAGTATCTTAGTTCCTTTCTTATATCCATCAGGAAAACATTCCACGTAGTTTAATTGTTTTGCCGCTTCTCTTCCAAACATCTATAGATGGAGGGAACTTACATGAATATAATAAACCCATGAAACTGATTCCTGGCAAACCGATGATGAATGAACTAACTACCTCTTTTTGCTCTAAGCAGTGAGAACACCAGAATGCCCCATACATTTTAGCTCCAATGGAGTTTAGATGTTTCGCTAAAGCAATAGCATAAGGGCTCGATGTTGAACTGATCTCTGTTCTAAAATATGGCAGTTCAATGTCACCAGAGCTGGAAGGAGTGAAACAAAAAACGATCGGGATTAAAAAGTGACCACCTGATAAGACTCGTTCATCTTTCGGTAGCTATTGGTTCACTGGTTAGTTACAAAGGACTAAAATTTCCATCGGACTCCCCAAAGAAAACTATGAACTTAGATTACCGTGAAGGGATTGGTTGAGCAGTACTGTAAGAAGCAGTCAAGGATGCAACTACTATGATTGCTAAGCATATCTGCAATCCAACAACTTGCTGTATTTCTTGCAACTTCACATCCTACCACATGCATGGAGCACATTAACATAATCCGAAGTTTAGAAGTTATCTTGAGTCAAAAAAAAAAAAAAAAAAACGAAATGAAAAAGAAATGGAAATAAAGGGATACCTTTACAGAGAGGAAAAATAGACTAAATGATAAGAAAGCAGACACCAGACAATACAGGCATGATGATCCTGAGAGTTTTGTGCTAAGGATATACAGGAAATATGCACTAGCAGATGCCATTGCAGTCGTGATCCCAAATAACGCGAAACGCCCATTGGTCTTACTGATTCCGAAAGGAAGATTCCCTTCCCCAAGCTCTGCGCTTAGAGCGGTTACTAAGCCATACATAACAAATCCAATCACTGGGAGAGGAACACCTGGCAAAATGTCAAAAGGATTTTCATTGAATTTTCTTTCAAACTCATTATACCTGCAATGCAATGTTGGTGAATTCCATTCAATACCGGAGCATAGGACAAAGAACAAAGAAAAAGCACTTCATACTGCAAAACATAGAGTGGAGAGAAGCATGCTATTCAACTTTAACAGTTCTATGCATATTGAAGTACCAAAGAGATTCACAGAGATTATCACATGATCATGCCTACTATAAAAGAGAGGACAACTAAATTACACAAATATTTCCAGGTTTAGTCATTACAAAGGAAACATACAAAACACACACACAAAATTACTGGAACTATAGATTCAAGACTGCCTAAATTCATACAATCTCGAACGTCTATTGCAAAATCCAAACCTGAACTACGTAAATCAAACGCTATAATCAATAAAGCGATGGATAATTACCGAAAACGACAGCATAATCGCTGTTCAGGACATCTCCGCAAGTGCCACCACCAATCGGGCAAAACGCATCAGAGCCAGTAACCTTGAGGTAAGTCAAATACGCAGTGTCTAACATCCCAATACCACCGATTCCGGTGTACCAGTTGTATGTCGAACTGTCACTAGTAGATACTTCACTTGTAGACGACGATGAGGAGGAAGACAGCGACGGCGCCGAATCCTCACCATTTTCCGGGTCAGATGAAGAACATTTGATCGAAATCGAAGGAAATCTCCGATCAGAGACCTAATTCAGAACATCTGACTTCAGATGACCGATCACACTACCATCACTGAAGAAAACACATGACTAGAATTTACCTCGAATCGTCTCCGATAAAAAGTTACCGACGGAGGAGAAACCTCGCGGAAGCCGAAATGAAACTGACAAGATGACACAGAAACAAACCTCGCCATCATCGTCGTCGAAGAATCGCTATTCCACCATTGTTAACTTCATCTTCTCTCCTCCGCTTCCACTATCTCAGCCACTTGTTTCAATATTGGGCCTTTTAGGCCCAAATACGATAATTTGGAACCATAACTAGTCAGTCAAGATTGGGCCTTATTACGGTCTTCTTATCCGTCCGAGTCAGCAAGTTATCCTCTTCAACACGACTCACGAGGCACCGAGTTGGACTTATCATGATTCATTATCATCTACGCATAGAATACATTTTGGAGTCGACATTGGTACATAATTGAATTTATCCGTAGAAATGATAGAGACTCGAAAATCGGACATAAAACTTGCTGACGTGACACCCATACCTTTTGTGTCTGTATGTATTATATAAACGCTAGAGAAGAGTATCGAAGTAGCATCAAAGCATTCTAAAAGAAGAAGAAAATGGAAACTACTGCCTTTAACACAACATCAAGAATTGGAAGCTGGTCATCAGCTATTTCTCGACCTCTACAAACATGTGGATCTTTCAAGTGCCAATTACCAACACGAAGAGGTGTTATTGTAGCTCATCTTCGAAACTCAAACTTCCGATGGTGAGCAACCAACGACCAGAATCTCTTTCTCTATCTGATTTTGGATTATGAATAAACTATTCAATATGAGTAATAACTTCTTGTTCAAGGAGGAAAGCAGCAACAACAACAAGCAGAGGGAATGTTTCAACAGAGGCAGTTAAAATTCCTACGTCAGTACCAGTAAGAGTGGCGCGTGAGCTAGCTCAAGCAGGATACCGGTATCTCGACGTTAGGACACCAGACGAATTCAGCATCGGACATCCAACTAGAGCCATCAACGTACCTTACATGTACAGAGTCGGATCAGGTTTTCATCACCGACCTTTAGGTTCCGCTCTCTTTTGAGAAAGAGTTAAAAATGAAAAAAACTTTAAACTAACACCATGCCAAAAACATTGCAGGAATGGTTAAGAACCCTAGTTTTCTAAGGCAGGTCTCGTCCCACTTCAGGAAACACGACGAAATCATCATCGTAAGTTTCAGTTTTGACATTCAGAGACTAAACCACTATGAAAACAATCCCCTGTTTTACAAAATCTTTGAGGCGCACAACTAACTACTTTTGCAGGGTTGTGAGAGCGGTCAAATGTCATTCATGGCCTCAACTGATCTACTCACTGCTGTAAGTGATATCACTTCAATTTATATAGCGGTTATCTGGTTTAGGACAATCGGGTTTAATGCTACCACATATACAGGGCTTCACAGCGATCACAGACATTGCTGGAGGATACGTCGCTTGGACAGAGAATGAGCTGCCGGTAGAAGAGTGAAAACAAACATGACCGTATCACCTCCTGTAATTATCAATAAATTATGTAGATGTCCTCAATGCAAGTGTTTATGTGTCGTTTACGACCAGTTCATATGATTACTTGCTTCAGTTAACAAAGAATATCGTAGCCGCTCTTAAGAATGGCTTTCACTTTATTGAGTTGCAATGCAATTCAATCTCTGCAGCGATCATTGTATCAAAAGGAGATTGTTTAAACAAAATTATACATGGACAAAAAGAGTGAGGCTCTAAGAAACTGTACAACGAAAAACGAGAAGTGAGTAGAGCTCTATCAAACTGATCAAACAAAAGTTTCAGCGCACCCGTGAGTGTCAACGATGGCCTTTTTTTAGGTCTGAAAAGTAACCACCATGTTTATCCTTGTGGCGCTCATCATCTCCAACCTGGTGGTTTCACAACATATTATTTGCTAAGAATCGTGTTGGTCAGAGAGATACAATGATAAAGCAATAATTACCTCGCGGATCAGTTGGTTAAGCATTTCTATGATTTCTGCAAAATTGGGTCTTTGAGCTGGGTCTTGCTGCCAGCATTTCTCAAGAAGTTCAGTCAGTTTTGGATGTGTTTCCTTTGGAATTTTTGGTCTAAGTCCCTGTAAAATAATTAAAAGCCATTGTGTTGAAGGCCTCTCAACAAAGCACGCGAGAAATAACTAATTAAGCACATGATACCTTTTGGACAACGCCAACAGCAGCTTGCAGTGGAGTCAAGTAAGAATATGGGAGCTGTTTTCATTCATTACACACCAGAGAGAACAAAATAGTGTTATACACATGAAATAACTGAAGACATCTACACAGGAGACTAGAAGTCTTACTTCCCCAGTCAAAAGTTCCCACAGCACAATCGCGTAGCTGAAGACATCCGCCCTGTGATCATAAGGTTTGTGCTCAATGACCTGAGTTCACAGAGTCTTGTGTCAAAAGCATGGAAAGCAAAAAAAAAAGAACAAGACAAAGAAGTAAAATACCTCTGGAGCCATCCATCGGTATGTCCCTGTTTCAGCTGTCATGACCCCCGACTCAGTCTGCACTCTGGCAACCCCAAAATCGGCAACCTTGACAACCTGTTCAAAATTATTAGAAACTAAAGACATGTACCTCTGTTCTTGTAAAGAAATTCGTGACTGAAAGAGGAAAATAAGTTTTTGTAGAATTTTAAAGGTTTACAAGCTGAAAAGACAACATAAACTGAGACCAAATAATGTTCAAAGACTACATGATCAGTGGCCAAAGATTGAGGCTTACTTCATGTTCGTCCATAAGAAGATTAGCAGTCTTAAGGTCTCTATGAATAATATTGTTTTGATGCAGATAATTCATTCCTTTCGAGACGTCAAGTGCCACTTTGAGCAAAGATTGAATTTTAAAAACGCCTTTGTGTTTGTGAAGGAAGTCATAAATGCTCCCCCGAGTCATGAACTCTGATACAAAAGGATCAAATCATCCGACCATGAATACATATAAAAGTCAAAACTAAACAATAATCTATAGAACCTCAATGTCCTGCTTAAACAACTTTCTCACCATGCATGATGATACAGAACCAACAGAAAAAACGATCTAAATGGAACTAGTCTCCTATTGAGAATCTACTGACAACTTACCAGTCACAATGCAGAGGTTTGGTGATCGTGTACATGCACCAATAAACTGGACAACATTTTTATGCCGAACTTTCCTACATATAGGAAAGTATCACTGTATCAGTAAATACCGTCACACTGAGAAAATTAGTGCATGTCTCTGAATATTAACTTTTTTTTAATGGACATTTAGGTGTAAGCAAATGAGCGAAACTCATGCATGTTTCTATATACAGACCATGGAATGGAATTTTCGGGGAATCATTAGAATAAAAATACTTGAGAGTATGAGTGGCAATAAGAATCAATGCAGCACACCTCATTATATACACTTCCTGAGAAAACTCTCGTAGCATTTCCGCATTTACACGCTCAGGCTTGAGAATTTTGATAGCTACTTCCTGACTACAATAGGTTCCTCTAAATCTGCATAGCCATCAAGAATATATATCTGTTAACTTCCTAACATTGTATTAGAAAAACAAGATTTTTGCATTTGAAAACTCACAGTTCCCCGTATGATCCACATGCCACCTTTTTTTCAATTTTGAGCTGTTTCATGTCAATTTCCCACTCATCAGTTCCATCCGTAGGTATTTCAACACATGCAGGTAGCAGTTCGTTGGTTGATTTGTCATGCTCGAAGAAAGTGATAGATTTCTGTTTTGAACAAGGTTGATCCTGCAGAGCAGCCAGTGTGGAATATGGAGACATGACAACTATCAAAATTGATTCAAGACATAGCAACAAAACATCAGTCCAGCACCGCATTAAGTTTTGGATCGAGCTAATGCTAAAGCACTGCTTACATTTTCAGAATTCAAATTACGAATGCGGCATGGAGAAAACTATAAGGAATGCTCATGACAATAGAATAATAAAAGATACCTTAAGCTTCCTTATCTCCTTCGTCAATGCATCTTTTAAACCTTCTGTTTCCTGTATTTCAAAAGTGTATATAAGTTTTTCAACCAGTTTAGTGATGACAGGGACAGAAAGTTCATCAATGGTCAGTATCTTTCAAAGTCATTTATTTAATCCATCAGTCACAAGTAACATGATGGTTCTGAAAGATGTTGTGATATATACAGAAAACTGAAACTATACCTCCTGCGACCAACCATCAACAACGAATACATCCAAAGAGAAACCATCCGCGGTAGAGAAAGCATGAGCCTCTTGAATATTCAATCCAAGTTCACCAAGCATGGAAGTTAACTGCAACAAACAAACAAAAAAACCGTTACTCGGTCAGATAATGGCTCAATGGAAACAGAACCACCCACTCTCTACATGACTGTATCTAATGGATCGTAGAAAGGGAATCCTAAACATCACTCTACAGCGATTGTTAAAGAAGACAAAGTCACATGTTTTCATAATCAGAGCTGAAATGAAAGAAACAATAAAATTCACCAACCTGACTAAGGAGTTTGGGCCTGTCTATTGTAGAAAAGGTGATTTCGTGCATCGGTCTATAAGATAGGTAACAAAGGATAAATATCACCACACACACATGGTTGTACAAAGTATTCCTCTTCAATAATAAGCAGAGAATAAGACTAGAGCAAATACAAATGTAACTCACCGAGAATTAGGCAAGTGTGCATTGACAGCACTATCATCGTCTTGAGCATGATCTTTGAAGGCTTGAGTAAGAGCCTCGAAATTCGGAGAAGAACCAAAAGTTGGAGGTGCAAGAGCCCTCGAGTTATAAGAGCTTTGAGCATCTTCCTTGACCGCAGGATCTGAAGGATCAACGTCACCAGAATTTCCATTCAATGTGGGAGAAACCTGAACACAACGAACTTCGAAAACAGGTCTAGTAGAGGGATCTTCAGCCAATTTCAACAATCTCTGATGAGTAAGAACATCTTCTGCTCTCTCAACATTCACATCCAAAGCATATCTATAAGAAGCAATATAAAAGTAAAAACAAAGAAACTACAAAAATCCATTTATTGTCATAGCTAGGATTGAAAATATACCTGGCAGGAAGACGATTGAAGTGAAGCCAGAGGTGATCATCAAAACCAGGGAAATTAGCTTCTTCGTAATTGGATTCCTGGATTCGTTGAAGAACTTCACCGTACACCTCAAGTTTCATACGATGCTGTCTAGGGCTTTCTTTCGTTATCGAAGCTACCACGGCTCTGCTTCCGCAACTCTCCTCCGTCTCTTCTTTGATCGCCATCGGAAAACAGCAGATCAGAATTGAAACACTCAAGTAAACAAAACCAAAAAAATTCAACAGTAGGAGTGATCTCTTCTTCGATCCTAAATCACGAAAAAGGAGAATGATCCAAGATTCAAGTAAAGGAGAAAAGATTAGAAATCGGAGAGAAGAGAGAAGAGAGAAGGTTGTGTTTGGGTTGAAAAAGCCAGGGAGGACATGAACGTTTCGTTGTGTAACACGTAGGGCTTGTCCACGTCATTATGTAGGGTCCATATCAGTGTGGGTCACGAGAATACTCTTATTTTTTTTAATTATTATAATCTTTTAATGGATAATGGACAGTTTTGCTTTTTTGGCTTCGAGATAAAAAATGTATGGTGCTTCTCATGTTTATGAAGCAAAAAAAAGAAATGGAGATGATGGTGGATGGTGATGCCTTTTTATTTTATTTTTTTTATGCTTTGCTACTTATGATACAAATATGATGACATATTTATGGACATGTTTTTCTTTTTATTTCACTATTTTCTGTATAACTTTTTTCCGGCTTTCTATAAGTTTATAACTGGTAAATTACATAAAAGTTGATCTTGTTACAATTTACAACACGGGAGTTCCGAATTTTTTATTTATTTTCCTACACAAGAAAGAAAAATAACCCATAGAAAACCATTAGCAATACGTACGTACTTCAGTCCTAACGCAACAGATCATATTTGTTGGGCCTTGTGGCCCAAATTTGCTTGGTGTGGCTACAAGTTACTGTATGTTACAAACTTTGAAACAAGTAAATAAAGTGGCAACGTTCGCAAAGTTAAAGACAAACTGAAAATGGCGACAACAATATCCATTGAACCATATCCCATATCCCATATCAGGTTCGGTAATTAAAATCATGAAATCTATATAAATAAAATTTATCTGAAATTTTAAAAAATGAATTTTATCTTTTTGTCAAGAAAAAAACAAGAAGAGGGGAATATTATACAGCTGTGAAAGGAAAGCGTGATGACGTGGCGGAAACCAATCAAGTACCAATGATTGGTCACTACTGCCTTCTCTTCTTCCAGATACTATACATTCCCTTCCACCGGTTCATGCTGACGTTGCTTTTGCGTCTACGAAGCCCTTCTCATAAATTTTAACTAACTAACCAAACAATTTTAACCCGTGACAAAAAAAAAAAAAAAATTTTTAATCCTATTTGATCTTTAATTTCTCCAATATGAATTCATGCAACATACTATCTTGTCGAGAAAAATTGGCGTATGAAAGTTTTAATCAAATAAATACCAATACGAAACCTCAACACAAATAAATTAAATAACTATCTTGAGAAATGAATTGATGACCATAAGATGCTGCGGTTAAGGTCAAGGTCCATTTATATAATAATACTATAATACCAACCAGAAGAGGACACGTGTAGGAAAAAGATAAGCCTGTTGCAACGTCGGGTACGCTAAAACCACCTGAGACGCGTTTTTGGTTGGTTTATCAATCAAATTCCAGACAATCCTAACAATTAATTAATAACGAAAACCATATGTGACAATGTTACATTATATCTTAATTAGCCACAATAAATGATTTGAAACGTAACACACGATAACAGTTAACATTAAATATGGAAGAGATGATCTTAGAATATGAAGACTTGAGTACTAGTATCTTTTATGGTATAGACAAAAAGACAATTATTCCACAAATCCACTAATAAACGATTTTAAGTAACAATATAGTCCGACAAAAAAATAAAAATAAAGTAAGAATAATATAGCGTAATTCTGGAATTGTTTAATATATTTTCTTGAAGAATACGTAAATAAAATAAAACAGGTTAATTATGTTGAACGTCATCGCATCATCATTGCTCCACCACTCCTCTATTTATAGTCTTTTTTTCATTTTATTTTTCCTCTCCACTCTTTTCATATTTGGTCCCTCTAATATTGCTTCTTCTTCTTCTTCTTCCATTTGTCTTTTAGAGCGAAAAATCATCTCTCAATAGAACACAAAAAGAGCAATAACGTAAAAGTGTGAAGAAACGAAGTAAAGACAAGAGAACAATTATGGGGCAATGCTCATCGACGACGAAGATGAGGAGAAAGAGGAAAAGGGAAGAAGAAGGTTGCAGAGAATCAATGGAGAGGAATAAAGGATGTTTAGCTATGGTGAAGGAGAGGCGTTCTAGGTTTTATATTGCCAGAAGATGTATTCTTATGTTACTTTGTTGGCACAAATACGCCAATTCTTGATGAGGTTTGTGTTTAGCAGTATTCGATAAGCACGTATATACAATTTGATTATTTGGACTCTGGTCATAGCTTTGTTTTTTGGGGTTTCTTTATTTAGTTTGAAAGTTTCAAGCTTTAATTTGGTATCTCCACTTTTTTGTTAAACAAATATTTGCTAACAATCTCAAGATTCTAGTAGTCACACAAGATATTCTGATTCATTCAATAACAAGTAGAGAATAGAGACAGAACAGAAACGGTATTACAGGTGGTAGTTTTTCACTTCACAGAGTTCCGACAGAATAAAACGTTAACAGAAAAGACATGAAACCCAAAGCGTCGCCTGACAGAATCTTTGTGCTATTTTAAGGATGATCAATTACACAACCTAAATCAACAGAGTTGTTGTTTAATCCTTTGTCAAGAGGATGAAACAGGTCATCTCGAGCCACGGGGTTCATACCTTCTCTCTGACCTCTCCGACCTTCTCTCTGATCTTCTTTCTGGGCTTCTTCCATGAGGAGAGTAAGACCGATCTCTTCTAGACCTTCTTTCGTCACGAGGTGAATAGTCGCGTCTTGGTGACCTACGGTCTCTATAATCATCACGATCATAGTGCCTCCCTCGACTGCTACGGCCATCTCGATCTTTTTTATCACAACAACAAAAAGATTACGGAACAGTTAGCAATCTTTCATTTGCATAGAGACTCAAAAATAATATCTACGAGGCTTGAAATGTTCACTTACCGCCGTCTCTGGAGCTTTTCAAGCCAAGATAGTGGCCTGGGGTGGGAGTTCTGGGGCGCTTTCTCCTAGACTGAAGATAGCACAAAGTACATAAACCTCATGTAATGGAACACAACTTTCAATCTAGAAAAGCCATAGGTATATTCAAGGAAACAAGATGCATCCTAGGCTGGAGAAACACTTGACTAATAGTTGTTGATACTTGATAAGGTCCTTTGACTAGTTGATAGTTGAGAGTTGAGGCAATATAGTTGCTTATGATTAGTGGGATCAGATCATTTGGAAAAGCTGTTTAAGCTGGCGATTTGATTGATCAAGCTGTGTTTCACTTAATGATGTTGAGCAAGGATGAGTACTCTTATCATCTCTGATTGTTGCTTGATGCAATATTTTCTGAATGATCAGAAAACCTCCAAGTCAACAAATAATGATCTCAAACTAATTATACTACCACCAAAATCAGTAGAGCATGATATTTTTACCCTTTCGACAGTTATGTATCGGCCTTCTAGAACAGACTGGTTGAGATATTTAATGCACCGCTCAGCATCTTTAACGCTATCCATTGTAACAAAGGCAAAACCACGAGACACACGGGTGCGCGGCTCCATCACAAGAAAACAAGACGCAACCTAAGGAAATGAAAATGGTTAACTACATGATTAAAGATAGTATGCTCAAAAACGCAGAGACAAAATAGACTTAAGACTGGTAGTATGAGAAACGAGAATCAGCTTTAGATGTTATCACCTTTCCTTCCTTGGCGAAATGTGCTTCAAGATCCTTGTCAGTGACTCTTGTAGATAGGCCAGTCACATAGAGAGTGGTACCAGGGTTTTCAACTTCACTTCTGTCAACCAAAATTCATTCACATATCGTAAACATTGCAAACTATCAATCCAATTACAGACAACAAGAGAATGCAAACTCATATGGAGAAAGCTAGAGCTAACCTTCCACGGCTTCTTGACCTTGACCTACAAAGTGTACAGGTAATGAAAAAAGATTACCACACAATATTCTTCAGAAATCTACCCATGATCTACATAAGAAAATCCTATACTTAACGCAATAACTAACCTTCCGCGGCTTCTCGATGGAGATATAGGCCTTGGCAAAGATCTTGACCTGGATCTAGACCTGGACCTGGATCTAGCTCGTTCTTTTCGGGGTGAAGGAGACCGTGAATCCCTGATGCAGAAATCAAGTAAAGATCACACACTCTCTCACAAAAAAAAGTTTGTCCGAGGTATATTTCATTGAGACTTGTTACTTAGAAACACCATCGAATTTAGCTCTTTATCAGTCCTATGAGCTACAAGATCCAATCAAATAGGATTTGCAACTAAAAAAAATCAAGAAAACTACAACTACATAGAAAAGGACTCCAATACTAGATCTTAAAAAAAGTCAAAAGTCCCCAAATCAATTCGTCAGATTCACAACCTACGCAATTGTTGAAACATGTAAAAACCAAAAGAGAACGATTATAGGAGGAGCATTAACAATAACAGCCCTGAAATGCGAAGCAATAGAAACTTGAATCTAACCTTCTTCGAGGAGAATCCGCCTGCAAAACGAAGTAATTACCTCAATTTTCTCGGAAATATCAAAGGAAGATCAAGAAGAACATAGAGATTTAGTCGTAGAAGCTTACCATTGCGAAAGAAACAGAGGTTGCGATCGAGACGGAGAGATTTAGGGTTTAAGTGAAAGCAACAAAGCGTAAAATCAGTCTTTATTTTCCCCCTTGTCTACAGATGAATTATTCATTCAATAAAATTTTATATTACAGGAGTAAGGAATTGCATGTGGCAAGACTCACGTTTCTTATGGTGCATTCTGCTACAAAGAAAGAAAAAAAATAATCGTAATCAAATCGGATTAGGATCTCCGGTCTGGCACTTGCCACCTCGGTTCGGCTTGATTTTCCCTGTATTTTCATTGTAATACCGTAAATTAAAATATGGATCTGTCTATGAATCTTCGGTTTGGTTCGGTTAACATAACATAATAGCAGTTACACAGAACATCATCATTCGAATTTGAAAGAAAAAAACGAGAAAAACAGAATATCCTCATATTATTTTGCCTCTTCACTCACTCATGATCTCTACATTTTTCACCCCAACAAATATTTGACGACAATCACAAAAGAATGTATTAAAAGAAACAACACAGTTAAATGTACAACTCAAACAACACTTTCAGCTATATTATTCAGGATCAAAAGAAACCCAAAAAATGCTGAAATTTACATTGAACATGATGAACATTACGTGGTTAAAGTGTCAGGAAGAGCCATGGAATGAGCTCCAATGATCTTACCACCAACATCTGGGAAACTCTCGTAATCAGGAAGAGGGCTTACTTTACCATCAACATCTACTTGTAGAGGATACTTTATTAAGTGACCTTGTAGCTCCTTGAATTCCGAGTCTATGAATTTTTTCCAGTTTCCTTCAGAGATTTTGTTCACGTTCTTCACACATTCCAGATCTGCTGGCTCCACAAATTCATCTCCCGTTTTGCCTAAATGCTCTGCCCATAGTGACATTCTGTATCCATACACCTGTGTCGTCGATAGAGATATCATCAAACCTCTTTATGTTTTACTCTTTCAAGAAGATTCAAAATATATATATATATATATATAATGGTTCAAGAATCTAGAGCAGAAACACAACTCTTCTGTCAAGCATCTAAGAACCTGATTTTCCTTAAGATCAAATGCTATCCCAACCTAACTTTCCATTTCTTTACTGTCTTCAAATCTAAGATTCAGGAATTTGAAACTTTCCCCATGTAGATAAAGAGACACTTTTGAGGTTTGGTTGTGGTATAGATAATGATGATGTTAGGAGGAAGGCAAACCTGGCCCCGTGGGTGTTTTCCCTTGTGAGCCCATGTATGATTAGGTTGGTATGCGCCCATGGCGATTTCAGTATCTTTGGTGCCCGCCATAGATCTTTGGTTGATATTAGCAGATCCCATGAGCACATACTCATCATCTACTACCATCCCCTTTGCGTGCACGTAAATCATGAAACGCTGGAACTTATAAGAATCCGATACCTGAAAAATGCAGTTAAATTATCATAAGGAAATTGTTCCACTGATTACTAGAGGAAACTTTATGTATGATTTCTCTATCTGTAAGCTACAGTTTTTGTGCATGAAGCAGTTCTTAGTCTTTGAAGCTTATACCACATTGCCATTGGTGGCTGGCATATCATCTGGAAGTTTCTCTCGTTTACCAAGGCAATAAAAGTTAAGGTAATCGAGCGGATGAGCATCTGATTGCACCGCTTTCAGTTCTTTTGCTATAACATCATACATCATCTGCATAGTTTGGCTCTGCGAAATGTGTTTAGCAGAAAACGTTAGATTCTCGTTTAAAGAAATAGAAGCATTTGCGCTAATCTTACAGTCAGCTAAAAATGTTACCTGCCAATATAGAATTTCTTGCACAGGGCCAGACTTTGGGTCGCCTTCAGGCCATAATGGTATGACAACATATACAGCAAATCTTTCCTTAGCTCTGATTTTACTAACAATCTTTAGAGCCAACTCCATAGGAATAAGATTGTCAGCTCCTGCTCATACAAGAAGAACACAGAATGAGAAAATCCACAAGCGAAAAGGTATATTCACTTCCATTTGTACAGATGGAAATACATTCCAGATAATAGTCAGATGAAAACAGAGCCAGGCATACAAAACTAGTAAGTGAGAACAATTCTAGACTTTATGCAGTCAATGTAATGTGAGCATTTTATTTCCTAGTCTAAAAACTGTACTCAAAGATCAGGATGTACCTGCATCTCTATATGAAGGCCAAGCATAAGAAGAACCCAGGAAATACTGATTCTCAATATATATGAAATGCTGAGCAGATCTGATTGTCTGGATGTATGCAGTCTGGATGCTTTTATCTACAACAAGACGCTTGGCACATTCCAGATGCTGCAGTAAGAAAATAATTTTGAAGACTTAATAGTGCAATCTATACCATGTGTTGGCTTATAAACAGAAATTCCATTGAATAAATGGTGATTCTTCAAGGAAGATTATTATAAATAGCAGATAAGTTGATCTACCAACCTGGGCTTCAGCCTCATCTTCATACTTTGGAAATCCTTTCACGGATCCTGAGTCGATAGACCGGAATATCTGGAAGTCAAAGAAACTGCATGGTTAGATCAAATTAACAAAAATTTTGTTACATGAAAAAATATTGTTTGGAAGGAATCTGGAAGGACCTGAACATGCCAGTTCTCAGGATCATCTTCTTTAGAAACCCAAACACATGGATCGTCCTCTGGAATAATTGTAGTACCATCCTTCAGAAATTTAAACACTGGACTTAGAATCCATGATATGCGCCCTATCCGGATCAAAGCATCATCTTGCCAGTGAGTTTTCCCCTTTAAACGTAAGCTAAACTCTTTCCATCGTGTTGCCTTTCTCCATCGCTGCTCAAAGTTTATGAGAACATCATATGCCGCAGGCCCATCTATCCTGCAGTGCAAATCATGCCAAGGTTGTCTTGGAGCCTTAGTACCAGCCTAAGGAAGAAGAAACAGAATACGAATCAGAAGTAGATAAGGAATAATGATTCTAGCTTGAAAACATCCGGCAAATAATCATATACTTACAGGAAATGTAGGATTGTGAAAATCATCCTTAAATACAGTGTCAAGATCCTTGAGTATCCTATGCTCAGGTGTGTCATAGCGGCCATCACAAAGATCTAGACCTCCAATAAAAGCTGTGACCTTGCGATTATTACCAACAGCCTGAGTGTCTACAAGAACACACTTTTGATGGTGCGTAAAGAGAGTGCCAACAACCTAAGGATTAAACAAAAAATTAAGTATCAGAGATCAAAAAGGAAATCCCATGGAAAGATAATAGTTATGTCAAAGCCGAAATTGACACAACATTTTGATACCCACATGAACAATGGCGAGACATGGATTAGAGTCAGGACATCTCTTATAATTGAAAGTAAACATCCACATTAACTAATTTCCAACTTAACAATAACCCTCATCATCGGGGAGACTAAACTCCCTTCGCTAGAACATATCAACATCAATACCAAACAAAAACTGTCATGACCATATATATAGAAAAGATAGGACTTGCCTGCTGTTTGAACAACCCAAGCTTACTGCTGGCATACCGGGGTGACAATACGCAAATCACAGAAGAATGTTTGAAGAACTTCCTAGTCTCTTCATCATGTGTCCCCATAACTCCAGGCTGCCAAAGAAAACATGCCATACAACATCTTAATGTCAAAACATAAATTATCCTCACCAGAAACTCCAATTAACATCACAACTAGTAATCCAAAAGCTCAAAATTAGCAAAACAAATCCAAAGAACTTGTGAAAACACTAACCGTGCTTATCCCAAATTTATCATGAGAAGTCTTATCATCCCATACAAGAAGCAAAACTCGAACACCTTCCTCTGATTTGTATTTGAGCAATTCCCCAAGCGTCAAATCACCACCTCTTGGTAATTTCCTTGTAGGTTCCCTAACAAGCTTAATCTTATGGAAGACAGACCAACCAACAACGTAAATCATATGATGAGCCTCAGATACAGCATAACATATATCTTCCCAACACTTCCCATGTTGATAAACTTTCCCGTTATCTAACCCAATCTCCGGCAACATTCCGTCCATAACATGAGCGTCCTGGTAAAGCCTCACCTGACTTCCTTTCCTCAGAGGGAAATAAGTCCGTTTAACACCTTTACGGTCCGGATCTCCGGCGATTCCACACCGGTAGCTATGGATCTGGTCGAACGGAGTAAATTTCATATCGATGAAAAGAGCAGTTTCTGCCTTAGGCGGTTTTCCCGAAGCACCGAGTATAGGAAACCAACCAGAAATGCGTTCTCCCGATGCGATGTCACGAACCGGGATCTTAGCCGTGCCAATGATTTGAGCACCGAAAACATCGTCGTCTTTGACCTGGAACTCGAGATAAGCCAACGGATGCGCTACGGAGATGTTGAAATGCTCGTCCCAAAGAGGATCTTGTGAGTTTTTCAAAACACGTGTTCGAGCTAGAGTCGCTTGAGGAACGACGACGGTGACGTACGGATCGCTGGTGATAACCTTACGGTGGCTACGGATGTTTTTATCACCGACTTCGCCTCCATCTCTGGGATCGACATCATCGGTGGGTCTAGCACAGGCGTTACAAGCGGTGAAGACACGGCGCAAATGTTCTGAGAACATATCCATGTTAGGTAACCTCCTCGCCTTAACAATTTTCAAATCGAGGTCACCGTGTAAAAGCATCACGTCCTCCGATGCTTTCTCCGCCATGGTTACAACAAATCAGGTGGAAGAAAACGAAGAAGAAGAAGAAAAGCTAACAAAAACCGAAAACCCTAACGAACAGGGCTCGGTTGTTGTTGCTGCTGCAGAAACCAAAGATGAATTTGAAAAGTTTTTTTTTTTTTTAGAAAATGAAAGATATTTATTATTTTAGGTAAAATGATTTGAGAGAGAAAGACAAGGAAGGAAGAAGAAGACGGGACACGTGGAGGGACGACGTGGAGGGAGTTGTTTGCTCACTGACGACATTATTCCGTGTAGATCTGAGAGAGTCGTTGCACACGTTCTTCAATCTAGCTTCTTTAATTGCTAAACTTTACTTAATTAGTTCACAAAATCTACTGATGATGAATTTGATTTTAGAATGTTGACAATGATGATGTGAAGAAGTCTTCTATTTGTCTGGAC